CTGCGCTACGGTCGCGCCCGTCGCGCCCCGTGAGCGCTCGCAGCGGCTCTTCCCGGGCTCGCTGCGGTCCCGGATCCGCTTCCCGAGCCTGCGCCCGGAACCGCTTCCTGTTTCTGCTTCCTGCGGCCCGAGCTCCTGGCCCCTGACGCTCCAGTCACTTCCTCCCCGGTCCCCCGCAGCCCCTGCCCAGCCCCTCGCTGTCAGCCGCCTTCCTCCTCCCGGCCTGGTCCCCGCCCCTTCCCCTCTGAGCCCCCCACAACTCCAAGCCTCGGCTCCCGGCGGGGCGCCCCCTCTCGGCGTGGGAAGTGTGGGCCTGGGGCGCCCGAGCCCCCAGAGCGAGCTAGGCCTTGCGGGGCCGAGGGCGCCGAGCCCAGAGGACCCCCGACCGCGCACGCCTCTCACCCAGCGAACCAGACCCACCTTGATCAGGAGGACACTGCGGGGTGGGCCTGCCTGCGATCGGAGGAGTGCATTGCTTTTTCACTCTGTCACTTCGTGGGGATCGAGGGCGGCTCCCCTAGTCTAAGTCCAGTCCTAACTGATGCGTTTTAGGGTGTCAGATTGTCTCAGAAGCAGCCTTGGGGTTCACCTCCTCCTCTGGCAGACTTGTGGAGAAAGTGAGAAAGTTGCGCACCCCCCTCCTCTCCTCCATCTCCCCAGTCTTGCTTTGCTCCAGGGGCAGGGCCTGGGGGCACCGATGGAGGAAAGATTCCAAAACGATCTTCCATGCCCTCCTCCCTGTGCCTGGTCAAAGCAGCAGTCCCTTTAGAAAGTGAACGATGAACTAATCCATACCTCTCATGAAGACTCCGTTTACAAGGAGGGATGAACAACTATTTCTTAATTTTTTTTTCCGGTTTTTTGAGAGAGGATTTTGCTGTGTAGTAGTTCAGGCTGCAGTTAAACTCGCTGTGTGGCCCAGGCTGGCCTTGAACTCGCTGCGATCCTCCTGCCTCAGCCTCCTCCTGAGTGCTGGGATTACAGGTCTGCGCCACCATTCCCATTTTACCCCTTAACTCTGAGGAGTGAATTTCTGCTGCCTGCAGTGCAGGAAGCGTCGGTGGCAGGAGCTGTGGGGAGTGGAGGTGGTCACTTGAGCCCACCATGTGGAGCATGCAGACGATGCCCTGGCTGTGGCAGGAGCTCTGGCAGGACCTGTGTGAGAAGAGACTCGCGCTTTTCCTCTCCACCCCATATCTAGGGTCAGGCCTTTTCTTAGGCTGGGTTATCAAGTCACCTGTGACCCAGAAAAGTGCTCCATCCTGCCCTCTCCTGACCAGTAGAATAGGAATCATTAGGGTTCTGAGAATATCTTCAAAAGGAGATTCTTTGGTACAGTTGCTATGGCTTGGTGTTACAGTAGCTTTAACAGATTCAGGTAGAGTTCAGCCGCACCGTCTGTCCCCAGTCTGGGTGTCTGTCCTCCTCTGGGCCTCCAGGTTGTATCTGAGTGTTCCTTTTGGTTGAAGCCCAGCTCTTGGGAACGAATCAGTGAAGTCTGAGGCTAGGTGAGACTCCAGCACAGAAACCGAGTTCATTGTGGTGCTTGCTGGTCACGGCTCCTAGCACTTCCCAAGACAAGGACAGGAGAGGCTATCTTCAGAGCCTGCTGAGAGAGTGGTGGAGGCTGTGTGCACTCGCTGTGTGCAGAAGGGCAGAGCTCTTTGGGGAAGGCAGATATAAAATGCAGAGCTCTGGGGTTCAGGGAGCTCCCAGGCCAGCAGCGGCGTCAGCTCAGCCTAGCCGGAGCAGCTTCACATAGAGGTTGATGAGGTGCCGTCATGTTGGAAAGGACTCTGGGTGGTGCCAGTCCAGGAAGGGGCACCCTTACAACTAACGGGAAGATTGATTGCCTGCGGCGAGGGTGGGGAGGCTTCAAGGTCTCTGACTTGGTGAAGTCCCTTCCTCCCCTGTTGCCTTGGGCTTCCTAGCGGTCTTCCTGCCTTTGTCCCTTCCACAAGAGACTGGGTGCCAATTAATCTTCCCAGAACACTGCTTAGAAGGTGGCACTGATCTTCTCCTAGCTACTTCCTGAATACCTTCCGGCTTCTCACCTTGGTCTTAGAGGACCGAACACTCAGCGGGTGCTCAGCCGAGCTCCTCAGCAGGTAACACTGTATCTTCCCTTTTGCCAGGAAAGCTGACCCAGTTTGAGTTTGGGTCCAGGCGTGACCTCAGAAAGCCTTCCCTGTTGTGGCCTGTTAGAAGTGACCCCACTTTTCTACCCCTCCTGGGGCCTCACACTATTCCCTTGTAGTTTAGTTACTCAGGGTGGCTTTATATTGTTATTTTATTTATCTATTTATTTATTTTTTGGTACTGGGAATTGAACTCAGGGCATGGCACTTGCCAGGCAGGCACTTGTGCCACTGAGCTATGTCCCCAGGCCTATATTACTTTCTTATTGGTGTTTCTTTCCGACCGAGGCTTAGTTGTCCTTCTGTTTTCCGTAGCACCTTCTGTGACACCCTGCACTGGTAGGCGCTCACAAGGTATTTACTGAACAACTTGATCAGTGGATACCTGGCTCTGTGGTGCCCTAAACTGTGAGGCTGGAGAGACAAGTGGGCAGGTGGAGCCCTGGAGAGGGCTGTGTGGAGCTGCTGGCCCTTCGCTGGGTCTCACTGGAGCCTCTTTGGACCTGGACAAGTGTAGAGGCAGGCAGGGCGCCTGGGGCAGTGAGTGGTCTGAGCAAAGACCTGGAGGTGGAGATGAGCACCTGTTCGATGGTTCGTTTTTCTCCTGCAAAGATTTACCCTTCAAGGAAAGAAGAAAATGGCCTTTAGTGGAGTTTGCAGGGCAAGTGGTCATTATCAGTTCAAGACCAGCCCCAGCCAGAGCGTGGAGACGGAGTGAGCGTTGCAGAAAGCAGGGACGTGCTGTGTCAGAACTTTCTGCGCCTGTAGAGAGCAGAGCAGGCGGAGTTGAGGGTGACGTGAGGCCTTGGACGGGAGAGGAAAGCACATTATAGTAAGGTGCTTCCTGTAGATTATGCTAATGTTCCGTCTGGCTGGGTGAGAGCCTGCCATGGCCTTGAACAGTTTTTGCAGATGGTCTGCAAAAGAGACCAATGTATTCCATTCCAGCTGTTCCAGTTGTTATTCTGGGGTGCCCTATGTTCCTGGCTGTCCCTCTCTTATAGATTGCTAGGTTGAGTTGGAATGCCCAGTGTCTGTATCCTCGCCAACACGCTTAGCTCCTCTGGGACAATGACTCTGGGATGAGGACACGTGGGAGGGAGGGAGAGCTGGGGAGTGGTAGTGACCATGCCACTGTGTCCTGGAAAGATGTGTTACTCCTCTCTTTGAAAAGCTGGGACTGAGCAGCTCCTCCAGGGCCTGGCGCCTGCCTACCCAAACACCGAATGGGTGTGTGTCCCTGTCCATGTCGGTGGCAGCAGGCCTGTGGTCATCTGACCAGTGACTGAGGCCATATCTCTGCTCTCTCTGCAGCGGGAGCCCAGCATCGACCTGCTCCAGGCCTTCGTGGAGCACTGGAAGGGCATCACACACTACTACATCGAGAGCACAGGTGCGGCCTGCTCCTCGCCAGCCCAGGGACCCCTGGAGGGAACTAGGAGGAAGACGTGGGCAGAGGGTTGCAGTGTAGGGGACTTAGGAAGGTGCCATCCATTGCCAGAGTTGGTGCCAAGCTAATGGAGACTGGAAATGGACAGATGGGAGAAGACCTAGACCCGTGGTCACCTCTGGTCTTCATGGCTTAGTTGGCGGCCCAGACCTGACCTTTTGGGAGTGGAGCTATGTGAGGGATCTACGGGGACAAGGCGGTAGGAGATCTCACTGGGCTGACTGCAAGAGCCTGGGCAGAGCCTCAAGGTTCTCAGTTCCCAAGTGCTTATACTTGATGAAAAAAAAAAAAAAAAAGAGATGGAAGAAATTCTTTTTCCCTGAGCCAACAGAAGGATTTTTCCCTGGTAGAGATCTGGGTAGGAGGACATCAAAAACCAAGGTAGGGAACGTGCCTGAGTCCTTCTCTTCAAGTCTGTACCACAGAGGGTTAAAGTCTCAGGTCTCCTGGCCCACCAGTGCCACTCAGTAAAGGGCACAATCTGATTGGCTGTTCTGTAGTTAGTACACCTGTATTGGTGGATACAGACTGGTTGCCAGGTAACCAACTCCTGTATCCCTAGCTTTCCATCTCCCTGCAATTCAGACTGGGTCTGATTCTAGCCCACGCCTTTCCTAAAGATTTCCTTTTCAGTTTCAGTGAGCCCAAGACATTGCAAAGTGCCTTTTGGGAATTCTGGTGACCCTCTGAGTTCCATTAGACCAGGTTTCTCAGTTTGAGCACAGTTGACACTGGGAATGATTCATTTGATGGGAGAATGTCCTGTGTGCTGTAGTCTATTGAGCAGCAGTCCTGGCCTGTACATCTAAGATGCCAGTAACCGCCCCCATTGTGACAGCTGTAAATGTCTCCAGATGTTCCCTGGAGGGCGAGATTGTCAGGAAGCCCTGGTCCACAGGAGAGTAGGACCTATCTACATCCAATTCTTTGTCCAGAGTTGGCCTCAGTCCAAGAGGCCAGCTGCCTGGCTCAAGGGCTTATGCCTTAAAGAAAAGCTAGGGGGAGCTGCAGGGCGGTCCCAAAGCCTTTTCTGGGGAAACAGCGCCTGCTCAGACTGACGACTCCATCTCCCCAGTGGTGGAGGAGCAGGTATGTGCCTGCAGTGTACAGATTGTTTTCTGCCTTGCAGAAAAACAGTATTGCCTTCTGTGAATGGTGGCAAAGGGACATAAAGAGGCCCCAGGAGATCGCTGCTCAGGAAGCTGCTAGAATAATGGCCTCCAAATTATATGATAGCCAGGTGTGGTGGCACAGGCTTGTAATCCCAGCACTTGGGAGGCTGAGGCAGAAGGATTACTGCGAGTTCGAGGCCAGCCTGGGCTACACAGTAAGTTGAAGGCCAGCCTGAACTGTATAGCAAGACCCTGTCTCAGAAAGACAAAAAAAAAAAAAATTACATGACCCACCTCTGTGCCCAGCTTCTCGCTCAGGCTAGAGCAGACAGGCAGCTTTCCAATTCAGTCCTGGGCACAACCAGGATATGTCCTTGCCCCGGGGCTTGGGGGAGAGCTATGAGGCCCCCTCTGACATAGCGCTGGGGCAAATAGACATTCTCAGTGAGAGGGAGAGGGCTGCATCCTGGCAGTCCAACAGGACTTTTGTCTTCAAATCCATAAGCATCAGCTGTGAACTTCTCTTTCCTGGTGGTCCCCGCCCCTCCTCACCTCCCTTCTGGGCTTGGCAGGAGAGGCTGCTGCGTGGAGCCTAGCTCCCCTTCTTCACCCCACTCACACTCGTGTTCTGAATCTTGGTCAGATGAAAACACCCCGGCCAAGAAGACAGATATTCCCTGGCGGCTGAAGCAGATGCTGGACATCCTGGTGTATGAGGAGCAGCAGCAGGCGGCTGCTGGCGAGGCCGGGCCCTGTCTGGAGTACCTGCTGCAGCACAAGATCCTGGAGACCCTGTGCACACTGGGCAAGGCTGAGGTGGGCGTGTCCACCCCAGGGTGCTTGGAACCTTCCACCCCAGCCAGGCCCCTGAGTGCCAGAGTCCCAACTGACACTGAGTTCTGGATGCCAGGGATGTGGCAGTGATAAAAGCTGACAAGAATACCTGTGGGTGACTGGCAGGATAATCACATACAGTTGTTAGACATGGAAGATTGGTTCCTGTCCTCACTAAAATCAAGAATGCACAAGCCTCTTAGATAAAACCAGGTTCTGAGTTTCTGGAACCAGTCTCCATGGATACCACAAGATGCCATGTTTGCATATGACTTACATGTGTCCTCCTGTAGCTTTAAATGGTGTCTAGTTGCCTCGGGGTACCTAATGTGACGTGAGTGCTGGGAAAATGGTTGCCGTGCAGTACTGGCTAGGGAGTAACGACAAGGAAGAAGGCTGTACGTGTTGAGTGATTTTTTTAAAAATACTTTCCATCTGAGGATGGTTAAATCCATGGTGGAGAACCTGTAGCTATGGAGGAGGGCCAGCGGTCATACGTTCAGTAATGACCCGGTTACATGGAGAAAACGGAGGCAGGACAGAGGGCTAGGAGCACAGGGGAGGCCAGTTTCCAACATTGTGGTGAGGGAAGGAGGCCTCCTTGGGAAGGAGGCCTCGGGGTGGGAGGTGGGGAGCCCTGTGCCTCGGGAAAAGGGCCTGTGCAGCAGACACGGCCCCTCTAACAGGCGCCCTGTTCTGATCCAGTACCCCCCAGGCATGCGGCAGCAGGTGTTCCAGTTCTTCAGCAAAGTCCTGGCTCAGGTGCAGCATCCGCTGCTGCACTACCTCAGCGTCCACAGGCCTGTGCAGGTGAGGCCAGCAGCTGAGGGCAGCTGGGCATGTGTCCCCGTTCCCAGCCGCCACATTCCCCTCTGCTCTGTCCTGTTCCCCTTCTAGAAACTTCTCCGGCTTGGCGGGGCAGTCCCTGGGTCCCTCACGGAAAAGGAGGAGGTGCAGTTCACCAGCGTCCTCTGCTCTAAGATCCAGCAGGACCCAGAGCTGCTCACCTACATCCTGGAAGTAAGTGCCCTGTGGGCAGTGGGCAGGGGAAGTGGGGACCCAGGAAAACCGCAATGGCCTCCAAGGAGCCAGCAGGGGAGGGCACATGGGAGGGGTTTGGGCAGCTTCCCTGCAGCTCCAGCTGAGGCCCTGTCTAATGCCCACCTGCATGCTATTTTTTGCAGTACTAGGATTAAACCCAGGACCTTTGTGCTGAGCTACATCACCAGCCCTCTTTTATTTATTTTTTATTTTGAGATAGGGCCTCGCTAAGTCACTAAGTTGTCCAGGCTGGGTTCAAACTTGCCATCCTCCTGCCTCAGCCTCCCAGACTGCTAGGATTACAGGTGTGCACCACCACTCTTGGCTCCACGCTATGCTCTTTTTTTTTTTTTCACTCTGCACTCCTTAGGGTGGACCCTTTAGAATGGTCCCCCTGTCACCTGGCCTCACCCCACCTTCTTTGCAGGGTAAAAAGATTATAGGGAAGAAGTCATCCAGAGAGTCTACGGCCCTGTCTAAAGACACAGCCAGCCACAGAAACAAGGACTGTTGTCAGAACTGTGCTCCTGACGGGGGCCCCCAGCCAGATGGGGAGCACTGTGGGGCCCAGGCCTTGAACAGCCGCCTGCCTGCTGAGACCGAGGGGCCAGATGGGCCTGGGGAGAGCAACCTAATCACCACCCTGCTAGGGCTGTGCAAGAGCAAGGTGCGGGCTGCAGAGGTGGGTGGGCAGGTGCAGTGCGGGGGCAGAGTCAAGGGACCAAGAGCGGCTGGGAGGTGATTTGGGGGTTTGCATGCATGGCAAACTTGAAGTTGTTTCCTCACCCCCTAGAAGGGTCGTGTGGCCCTGAAGGCCCAGGAGAACCTGCTGCTCCTGGTAGGCGTGGCCTCCCCAGCAGCTGCCACCTACCTGGCGCAGAGCAGCCCCTGTTGTGCCGCGATATCGGAGCATCTGTGCCAGCTGTACCAGTCCTTGCCTGCCTTCCTTGACCCTGCAGACATCGCCACTTTAGAGGGCATCAGCTGGAGGTGGGCCCTGGCTGGGGAAGGCTGGGCAACATCTCAGGGGCTGTTGGCCAGCTCCTCTGGTGTCCGTGTGGGAGGGAGACCTTGCTGGCCACCCTCTTCCCAAGGTGACGGCACATTCCCAGAGTCTCTGACGACAAAGCCACAGCAGGACTGAGCCCAGCCGCAGAGCTTCTCCTGAGAGGGAGAAGGCAGCTCCTGGACGTCCTTGAGGGACGGAAGAGCTTGAAGCTTCTCCCGAGCCCTCCAGACTTCCTGCCTTCCTCTCCCCTAGGTTACCCAGTGCCCCATCTGATGAGGCGTCTTTCCCTGGTAAGGAGGCCCTGGCTGCCTTCCTGGGCTGGTTTGATTACTGTGACCACCTTATCACCGAGGCACACATGGTGAGCAGGGGCAGGCGGGGCCGGGCCCTCATGGCTTCCCTCGCCATCTGGTCTCGGGGACAGAGTGGAGCAAATGCGTAGTGACCTGGGGCTGGTCAGCCCTGCTGTGCAAGACACAGTGACTCGGGGCAACTGTGATGGCCGCAGACGCGGTGAAGACATGCTCTTTGCCCCAGGTGGTAGCTGATGTCTTGGCAAAGGCTGTGGCCGAGAGGCTGTTCGTGGACACCCTGCAGCCCCAACTTCTGCATGTGTGAGTGTCTTTTTTTTTTTTTTTTTTGGATACAGCATCTCAGAATGTAGTTTAAGCTGGTCTTGAACTCACTATGTAGCCCAGGCTCGCCTCAAACTCATGCGATCCTCCAGCTTCAAACTCCTCAGTTCTGGGATTACAGTCGTGCACCACCACCCCCAGCTTTGGCCCTTGTCTGTGTCCTGCCCACCCCACCAAGCCCCTCCCTGGCCCTAGGCCAGGGACCTTCCTGGCCAGAGTCACATCCATGGACTCTGCTACTTAACATTTTCCAGGTCTGCTCCTGATAAGCACAGGGCTCTGAGCCTCTTGGGCTAAGTGATGGCCTCCCACGCCTATCCGAAGGACCTCAGTAAGGATGGGGACATGGCCAGAGACATATCCAAAGATATGAGGCAGGCAGGAAAGGGGCACTGCACTGCACTCCCATCCCCCTTGCCCCCTCTGCTGCCCCTGGCACAGCCTGGCTAAGGGGCCTCCCTCCGCCTGCAGGTCTGAGCAGAGCATCCTGACCTCCACCGCCCTGCTGACGGCCATGCTGCGCCAGCTTCGCTCCCCCGCGCTGCTACAGGAAGCCGTGACCTTTCTGCTGGGCTCCCAGCCGCAGTCTGCAGCTGCCGAGGACAGCCCACGCTCCCTGTGCGACCACCTCATCGGGCACTGCGACCACCTCTCTGACGAGGTGAGGGAGGGGCCCTCAGCTCTGCTTCCCTCTCCCTGCCCCACCCACAGAACATTTCCTGAGTGCTTCTGCCCGTCTCAGCCACCCTGAGCCCCTCAGACACTCACAGGGTGATTGGCAACCTGATCACCTCCATGCTTGGACTTGCCAGGCTGGTTTTGTCACAGTTACTTCCTGTGATCGCATGTTCTTTATGGCACTGAGTATTTTCCAGACTGCTTTGCTAGCCATTTGGCTTTTTCTTTTTTTCAATGCAGGGGATTGAACATGAGTCCTTCTTCCCTAGCCTGTTTTTATTTTTAATTTTTTTATCTATAAGTCACTGTGTTGCCCAGGCTAATCTGGAATTTGTGATCCTCCTGTCTCAGCCTCCCAGAGTGCTGGGATTACTAGGCATGCGCCACCACATCCAGCTTCTTTTGGTTTATTGGAGGCTCAAGTGCTCTGTGAGGTAGAGGAGGCTCATAGTCGCATTTTTTGAACATGGAACTGGAGCCACAGAGAAGCCAGTGGCCATGACTGAGAAGGCATATAGTAGGACTGATGGAGCCGGGGACAGTGGCACATACCTGTGATCCCAGCTACTCAGAAGGTTGAGGCAGAAAATCTAAATTTCAAGTCCAGCCTGGGCAATGTGGCAAGACCCTGTCTGTGGATACAGTAAGGGTTAGGGGTGTACCGCACCGGTAGAGTGCACATGGATTCAATCCCCATACCACCACCACCACCACCAAAAAAATGAGTAATGGGACAGGGACCATCCAGGCTTCCCACTTCCCTGGGCCACCGCCTGCCCACGCTCCTGAAGCCTGCTACCTTGGTCCCTAGCCCGGGGAGATGACCCCGCCTTCAAGGACTTTCTTATCTAGGCCAGCAGTTCCCAGGCACTGGGAGGGAGGGGTGGCAGGGAGGGGACCCTGCTGAGCCCTTTTGCTGTAGATCAGCATCGCCACGCTGCGGCTGTTTGAGGAGCTGCTGCAGAAGCCCCATGAGGGGGTCATCCACAGCCTGGTTTTGTGCAGCCTGGAGGGCCGCCTGTATATGGCCCGGAGCTCACCAGAGCCCGAGAGCTATGAGGACACCATGTAAGTGAAGCCAAGACTCCCAGGGCCACCTGGGTCCCAGGCCAGCCCCCAGCACACCCACACACATTCATTCACTCACTCATTCTTCCTTCACTCGGTGTGTGCTGGCCACAGAGATCTGGAGGAAGACCCCTACTTCACGGATGGCTTCGATTCTGGCCTCCAGCCCGCTACAAAGCCTCGCCAGGCTCCTGCCACTTCGGATGGCAAAACAGCAGTGACAGAGATTGTCAACAGGTGGGGAGCAGGTTAGGCAATTGGAGCCACTTGAGTCGTCTTGCCCCTGGGGTCCAGGGAGCTAGGGAGCATGGGGGTCCCAGGGAAGCAGCTCCACACTTCAGCTCCTGTCTCTCAGCTTCCTCTGCCTGGTCCCCGAAGAAGCCAAGACTTCAGCCTTCCTGGAGGAGACCGGGTACGACACATACGTCCACGATGCCTATGGCCTGGTGAGTGAGGCTGTGCGGGGACCCTCCTCACCCTTCCTAGCCTTCGGGTTGAAAAACACCTTTGATCTTCTGCCCCAGGAGCTGGAGCCCTCCCTTCCTATTGTGGGGTCCCTCAACTCGGTCCCCTCTTTCAGTTCCAGGAGTGCAGCTCCCGTGTTGCGCCCTGGGGCTGGCCCCAGACTCCCACACCCTTGGACCCCCATGAACCGGAACAGCCTTTCTTTGAGGGTCACTTCCTCCAAGTGCTGTTCAATCGCATCGCCCGGATTTTGGATCAGGTAGCCAATGGGTCAGGGCCCAGGAGAAGTCCAGGCTGGGCTGCCAGTGTCTTTGAGGACAGTGGGCACCGACCATGAGGCTTGACCCTTCCTGGGCTCTTGGTCTCCACCCTCCACCCCCCAGCCTTTCCCCAGGCGGGAAGTCCCGTCTTGCCTCTGCTCCACACGCCCTGACATGCTCTGGCCCTCAGCCCCAGGGAATCCATGACACACACTCATCACGTGAGTCTCCCACCCCCGCACACGTTCACACCGGCCAGGCGCCTTGCTGGGGAGCACAGAAAGGCTCGCCACTCCCACCAACCCTCGGCGTCGTCCATCTTGTTTCCTGCAGCCCTATGGCCTAAACCTGCAAGTGACCTCAGTCCTGTCCCGGCTCGCCCTCTTCCCCCACCCCCACATCCATGAGTACCTTCTGGATCCCTACGTCAACCTGGCCCCTGGCTGCAGAAGCCTGTTCTCTGTGCTGGTCAGGGTAAGGATGCCACGAGGTAGGAAGGCTGGGAACAGAACAGGGGCTGGGGGTGCGGGGGGTTGATGCCAGGGAAACAACAGGTCCCCCACCACCGTGGCACCTGAGCAAGGGGAGCCTGCAGGAACATGGCTAGGCCCTACCTCAGGCCTCCCTGGCTCCCGGCCTAGGTGATCGGGGACTTGATGCAGAGAATTCAGAGGATACCCCAGTTCCCGGGCAAGCTGCTCCTCGTCCGCAAGCAGCTGATGGGCCAGGTCCCTGGGGAGCAGTAAGTAACCCTGGAAGTGGGTCTGGAGGGTGTCTGGCCACTGTGTCGAGCCTTGTAGACTCCGGCTGTCATGCTGGGCACATGGCTGCCACCTGCCAGTTGTCCCCCCACCCCATCCCACACTGTCCCCCCTCAGGCTGGACCACCAGACCCTCCTTCAGGGCGTGGTAGTACTTGAGGAGTTCTGCAAGGAGCTGGCTGCCATCGCCTTTGTCAAGTTTCCCCCACGTGGTCCTCAGCTGAACTTCTCCCCGCCCCCGGAAGGGCAAGTCTGAGACTCCTGTCTTCGCCTTGCCCTGGAGCCGCCTCCTTCTGAGCCCTGCTGCCTCTACAGCTCCCCTCCAATGTGGAACTTCAGCTCCCAGGCTGACTCGGGACCTCGGCCTGTTGACCACAAAGGCCTAGGTTCCAGGGAGTGCACCTTGGCCGGGCCAGGAGCAAAAGAGACTGCTTCCCCAGCAGCATGGCGTCCTCAGGGCCTTCCTGGAACCACTCGAAACCACTTTGCGCCTGGACCCTGACCCTGTGTGTTTTCTGACTCTTCACTCCACACTGGCCATGTGTGGCCAGGGCCACAACCAGTAACAATTCCAAGGTCACATGGAGACAGCAGCTGGCTCCAAGGCCAGCCAGGAATTCAGGCCAGAGAGCCAGGGGTCAGGAGGAGCCCTGACTGTCATGTTCGGTACCATAGAAGCTGCTACAACTTGAAGGCTGTTCCCTACCTTCACGGTTGCACTCCGGAGAAGGGACTGTGAAGGGGACTGTGGGGGAAGCCCCTTCCTCCTGCCCTGCCCTCCCGGCGGCTATTGCAAAATTCCCAACTGCCTCATGGCAAATGCCCAAAGCATGCTCCGCACCCAGGCGGGGGCAGCTGCTAATGAGAACCTCAGTGCAGCTGCAGCCAGGGTGGGCGAGGGCCTTGGAGCTGTGGAGCTGGGTGCCTGCTTACAGCCCCAGCTGGCTCCTTGCTGGCGCCTTCTGAACTCGTCTCGGCAGGTCCACAACACCTGGGCAGAGAGGTCAGTGACCAGGGGCGGCTGGGCCCCATCCTCCAGATCCTGCTCATTGCCCTGTATTCCTAATGGATGGCCCTCCTGGGGGGCACAGGAGCTCGGGGTACAGACGAGGCAGGGTGCCCGACTCCAGACCCCCTCCCGTAGAGGCAGGGTGCCCGACTCCAGACCCCCTCCCGTAAGGCCCAGCGGGGAGGGGCTGGGCACGGGCAGCCAGTTCTCCTTGCATGCCCTCTGCGGCTGGGGCTGCCTCCCCACCCGGCCTGAATCTGCCTCGACCTGCAGGAGCACTCGCGCGGCGCCAGGCATTACCTCACAGTGGGACTGCAGTTGCTGGCTCGGCTCCTGGGCAAGGAGGAGCAGGCCAGAGCCCCTTTCGCTTCCTTTTCCTGCCCATGCCTCTTCTAGATGCCGGGCACGGGTTGCCAAGAGGTGACATGAAAGAAGGGGGAACTCAGTGACCTCTCCCTCTCCTGCATTCCTCCCAGCGGGGGAGGACCGACGCCGCTCCAAAGAACACGGTGCACGCCTGCTTGTGCATACGTGCACATGGGTGCCAGTGTAGGACAAGGGGCAGATCCCAGTGAGGGACCTGGGTCTGGACTTGGAGATTCTTCAGATCTTGGAGGGTCTGGGAGGCGTGGACCCTCGCCTCTAATCAGTGCACTTTGGTATTTTCACGGTGTCTTCCTCGGACAGCACAGCAATAAACAGTGTGAGTGTGTGGACACGGCGGCTCTGTTCTCAGCCTTCCCATCTGTGCCCTGCCCAGCACTTCTGCCCCAAGGAAAACAAGCGCCCTTCCTTTTCCAGCCCTGGAGCAGAGGGAGGGTGGTGGTGCAGAGTGTGGTGGGAGCAGTGTAAGTCACATTTCACACCCACCAGCTCACCTGTGGCTGAGCTGCCAGTCCAGGCCACCGTAAGGGGACGGGCCAGGAGGGAACATCTGGTGCAGGTCTCATGTCCGTGTTTATGCCGTGGGCTGCAGAACTCCGTCATGAGCATTGGGCCTGATGTTTAACCAATTTGTCCTTGGATGTGTGGGGAGGGAAGAGGGGTTCCTGAGGGGTTGCCACAGAACTCAGGCAGGCTGAGAATTTGAAGGGTCATCCAGTGGTTCCCAACTTTTTAAAGTGCTTTTTAGCCATGCGTAGTGGTACATGCCTGTAATCCCAGCATTTGGAAAGCTGAGGCAGGAGAATCAGTGTGAACGTGAGGACAGCAGGGCTACATAGTGAGCCCAAGGCCAGCCTGAACCACATAGCAAGAACCTATCTCAGAAACAGAAACAAAGTGCTTTTTAAAACGCTAGTGATGGGGGCTGGGGATTTAGCTCAGCGGCATAGCGCCTGCCTGGCAAGCGCAAGGTCGTGAATTTGATCCAGGATCCTTGTGGGTTTGAGACCAGCCTGGGCTACAAAGTGAGCTCAAGCCCAGCCTGAACTGCATAGCGAGACCCTGTCTCAAAAAGACAAAAAATAAATAAATAAAATGCTAGTGCTCAGCCCCCTCCAGCAGTTCAGTTGGTATGAGGGAGGACCGAGTGTCTGTAAGCTCTCCGGGGATGTATGTCTTGGCATTGAAAACTACCCAGCTAAACTGTGGGAATAACTACCACTGCCCTGCTGTAGGGCCCCTCAAACACTTAAGAGGGAACAGAACAAAGGGGTTTGGTCCGTCATTCAGATGTGTTCTTAGAGGGCCCAGGATTCCTATAATCCCCTACCCCAGAGGCCAGAGAAACAAGTTGGGAAGGCCAAGAGGGGCCCATGCCAGGCAGCGGGCAGTGGAGCCTAGAAGTGAAGCCCATTTGTGTGTCCCTGCTCAAAACCAGAGATCTGTACATGTGATTTGCACGTGATACACTTTATTTGCTCATCAACTTTGGTTTTCCACTAAGTTCTTTTATTAAAAAAATTAAAACTGTATGACTCTGCTGAGCTGAGGGGAAGTGAAAGGTTTAGTCCGGCTTGGGCTGGAAGTATAAAGGCAGAGGCAGGAGAGCAGCGGGCAGGGATCCGAGCCTAGAAGCTGGAGGGAAAGAAACATGTCTGGGTTCTGTCCTGTCTGCAGCTTCCCGGAATCCCCACTGCGCAGGCCTGGGGGTCTGAGCTGCTTCCATTAGGGACCTGGTTCTCTGACAGCTACCTGCCGCCTACAGACAGCCTGGGGGCTGCGGCTGCAGTGGACAGCAGTGTCACAGCTGTCAGGAAAGCCCTGGGCAGCTGCTGGTGTGACAGGGAGCTGCGGTTCCAGCAAGAGCCCCACACTTTTCCTGACATTTAGGCAAGAAGGGAAGGGCAAGCAACACTGTTTACTCAGCACAAGGCCTCCCTTCCAAGTTCTGAGTCCAAAAGGATCAGCATGCAGGTCTTCAGTGTGCTGGGCAAGGGGTTCAGAAAGCTCCTGGATCCATGTGCTCTCAAGGCAGCTGGGCCCTTGAGCTCTGTGCTCCTTGCTCAGTTAAAGGCACTGTTCTTTTGGTGCAAGGTGGGGGTCGGCTGCATGAAGTCTCGCTGTGACCAGGAGAACCAACCCTGCACCCTGCACACCAAGATCCCTGACTGCCAGCCTCCTGCCACCTCAGAGGGAGGCAGAGTCCCGTGGAGGGGACACAGCTGCCCAGCTCCGGGCGCCTGCTGGCCCCTCCCTATCTGTTCACAGGGACCACAGAAGATTCCTGGAGCCTCTGGAGGAGCTGGCTCCGTAGGTCTCCCTGCATCACCTTCCACCATGAGTAGTTCTCACCCCGAACCTTAGGGGGCTCATCTTGGCTTCCCAGGTTCCGAAAAGCCACTGTCACCAGGACATTGAGGCAGATGCCATCTGTTTGGTCTCTGCCCAGGTGCTGCAATCCAAGCAACCCCTTGGTCTCCACTGTCAAATTGTGAAGGGTCAGACACTCCTGCAGCAGCCGCAGGATGGCCACCTTGATGCCACCCCTCTGTTCCATGGGGGTAAAGCCACAGGCGGTAATGGGCAAGTGTGGCATCCCCGCCATGCCCACCAGCACCCACACAGTCTGGATGCTGGCAAAAGTGGTCACGAGCCGCAGGCAGACCAGACTACAGGGCAGTTCGTGGGGCAGGACCAGAGGGTGCCCGGCCTGCTGGCGGTACTGGGCGGCCAGCTCAATCAGGTGCAAAATGTCATGGGCTCGAAGCGGACTGGGCAGGGAGGTCCTCGGGTACCAGCCAGCCTGCAGGGACTCCGCATCCGCCTCCTTGACAGTCTTGAGAATTCCACCTAGGGGAGATTCAAGGAACAGGGACAGGGGAGGGCGGGCAGGGTGTGTGCTGAGTAGTAACAGAGCTGGGTGTGGCAGTGGACTCCAGGAGGCTGAGGCAGAAAGAATGCAAGTTTGAGCCAAGCCTGGAAAACAGTGATTTAGGGAGACCCCTGCCTCAAAAAATAAGAAGGGGCTGGGATGTATCTCAGGGCAAAGGCCTCGGGTTCCAGTACCCCCCACCAAGTTTCAGGTCTGGCAGAGTAAATAAACACCCAGGCACTCTAGCCATGACCTCTCCGGCTGCAATCAGCCAATAATCAGCGGCCAATACCAGTCAGAATAGGCCTGGCTGCATCTTCTGGGAGGACAAGGTGGGGGAAAGGTGGCAATCAGCTCTGGCTCACCTGCCACTAAGTGGGCCCTACCTGTGGGGCGAGCGAGGAACACGAAGCGGATCCAGGAAGGACCCCGCTCCTCCAAGGAGAGCAGCGTCACAGGCTCACAGAGCAGCCCGGCCTCCTCCCTCACCTCCCGCCGCAGCGCCTCCACGATGGTCTCCCCAGGCTCCATTCGCCCTGCAGGAAGGTACCATGACCCCCGGCACTCCCTCTTAGCCTCCTGGATCAGCAGCACCTCATCCTGGGGGAAGAGAAAGACTCTCAGCCTCCACTAGGCCCCGTCGGGTCTCAAACACGGTGCTCGAAGCTTCCCTTCCTGGTGGACACCTTGCAGTGGACCTGGAGACAGCACGCTGGTAGCTGCAGCTGTCTCCTCTGCAATAATTCATCTACCGGATTTACAGTTTCCTTTACAGGAAGGGGCTGAGATCCCCGGGAGCTGCTTCTGGGGCTGGAGAGGAGGCCCAGAGTGAGGGCTGCCACTACCCTTCCGTGATTTGTGTCTATGCCACCTTGTAGCTTCTTCCTCCCCACGGGATTTACATGTCAGTCTGGGCTTTGAAACTGGCTCCCACCCTGTAACACCCCTCCCTGCGCCTCTGGCTCTTGTAATTGTTATTATATCGACCGAAACAGGAATGAGCACCAAAAAGAGCTCCCAGGGGTTACGAGGCGCCAGTGTAAGCTCCCCAGTACTCTCCGTGGGGGCAGGAGTCTCGGAAGCCCCAACAGCCCTCCCAAGAGAGCCCGCTCTGAGTTGGGCACTGCGCTAGGCTCCTGGGAAGGGAGGCAGAAGACCACAGTCCTGTGCTCTAGATGCCGAGGCCCAGCGGACGAGATGGGCGGCCGGGGCCTCGGTTCCCTCCTCTCTAACCGCACGATGTGAAAGTGCTTTGTAAAACTGGGAAGCGCCACGCAGAGGGTGGCCAGAGCCGTCGCTCTTCGGTCCCCACTGGGCTGGCTGCGCGCTCCCGAGGCCCCGCGGGCCGGCGGGGGACGCTCACCTGCTCGTTGAGGAACACGGCCAGCACCACGTAGCAGACGTCCCTCCGCAGCCGCACGGGCGCCCGAGGCTCGCCGGCTGGCTCCGAGTCACAGCGCTGCACGTGCAGCCCCTGGCCCCCCAGCACGGCCACCAGCTCCCCCTCCGGGCTTTCCGAGGCCATCGGGTCCCCTGCAGGGCGGCGGACCCGGGCCCCGCGGACCCGGGGGGACCCTTGGGGCGGGCGGGCTAGGGCGTGGGAAGCGTGGGCTCCTACGCCCTCGCCCCCCACCCAGCGGGCTCCGGCCGGCCCGAACGCGGAAGCTGATAGGCTGCGCGTCACCGCGGCCTGCGACCATTGGCCCGCCGGTGTAGTCACGAAGGGGGCAGGGTCAGCTCATGAGGGGGCGGGGCATCCGGCGCGCGCCGTAGGGACTGTCGCCCCGCTTCTGCAGTCACGTCACCCGTCTCTTTCTGTCTTTCCGTAGCTCTTGGGGCGCCTCCCGCCGCCGACTTCGCTAATTCCACTGCGCACACTAGTCCGTGCTCGCCCCGATGATGACGTCATTTTGCCTGCAGGGTGTTGGGCGCCTTCACGGGACAGTGGCGTCACAAGCTCGATGACGTCACGGCACCCCGGGCCCGTCGCGTGGACCCAGTGTATACTTTTATCGTAAACTAGGGCATTGCCCGAGATGATCGCTTCCCAAATAACTTCCTTCTTACTTCATTAAAATGTACTGAATGTCAAGGGCACATAGACTGTTGCCTTAGAGATTCTGATCTAGTTGGAGAGATGGACACAGACATGTCATAAAAAGTCACCTGAGGGTAGGAGGCTAAGTGCTAAATGAGTGGCTTGGGCAGCAGATGTGACAGAGAAGGGAGGAGGCAGGACGGGGATGGGATGACAGGGCAGGAGTCAGCAGCCCTCCTCAGAGCGCCCTACCCACCCTGTTTCCCACTCAGTGTCCCGTCTCTCTGCTGCAGACCGTGCCCATGGAGGGCCGGCGCATGGGGAACAGGGTGTGGGTTGTTTGGGGCGGCTCCCGCCTCTCTCCCAGCCTGACCTTTCCTCCTCAGAGTTTCGTTTAACCTCCTGTCAGGACAGAAGGCACAGCCAGCTGGAAAGAATCAGCAAGCAGGCCAAGTCTGGGCTCCCCAGGCCGTCCAGCCTCCCCTTCCTCCCTCCTGCTGGCTTTGTGCACCTCCCTTTGGTAGCCGGATGGGGGGACAGAAGCTGCGTGATGTTGACAGAGCTTTGGACTTCAAGCCAGATGTCCAGCCCCTGCTGGCTGGCTCTGTCTGTGCCCCTGGGTAAGTTCTGGCCTCAGTTTCCTCATCTGTGCTGTAAGGTCCCATAACAGCCCACCTTTTACAGGGTGTTCGAGGCCAAGGTGTCCAGGGAGGCACTGCGTGAACTGTCCAGCATGGGGCACTGTGGCCAGGATGCCTGCCAGCTCTCCAGGCCCAGCCCTTGCAGCCGCAGCCTTGTTGCTCCCACATGAAATGGGCTGCCCTATAGCTGGGCTCCACTGCCAGGAGTCCCAGCCTCATGGGACTGGCGTCCTTAGGTCCTTCTCATGTATTGATGCTGGGTGCACATCCACTGCAGCCAGGGCCCTGGGTCAGGTGGTGGAGTACACCTTGTGGCCTTGAAAGTTTTTAAAGACTTGCATTTCTTGTTCTGTTGCAGCTCTAAGAACTCCCATGCCCCAAACAATCAACTCACTGGGCTGAGGGTCAGGACCCAGGGGCCACACAACAACCTGTCAACACATTTTTTCCTTGTGTGTGTTCATGTCCCTCAGTTTTCCCATCTGTGAAGTGGGGCAGCATTGGTTACAGACTGCTTTCTGCCTCCCAGGGATGAATTGAGAGAGTGAGGTCATGTCTGGGCAGAGCTCTAGGAGCTTCAGAGGCATCCTAAGATAAACACCAGGCGGTCTAACTGCCTGGAAGAACAGAGGCCGCCACAAATTGCAGCTCTACTCCCCATTATCAAGGGGGTGGGGGCAAGCACACCTCTCTGGTGGAGTGGGCAGTCAGCCCAGTCTGAGCCACAGCCTGAGGCAACAGAACAGGCAGCCGTCTTGAAGGCTCCTTCCTGCAGCTCTGGCTGAGACCACAAAGAGGTAGCGATGCTCAGGCCTTGGAAGGAAGAGATGGGTCAGAGTGGGGTGGCCCCAAGAGAGAAGGAGGAAAGTGAGGAAGCAAAGGAGACAAAAACAAGGCTTAGGCTGGGCAAGACAGTGCCCGCCTGTAATCCCAGCACTTGGGAGGCTGAGGCAGGAAGACTGAGTTGGAGCCAAGCCTGAACTATGTAGTGTTCAAGGCCAGCCTGAACTACATAGTCAGACACTCTTAAAAAATAAAACAACAACAAAAAAGAAAGAAACCTACAGCAAGACTCTGGGTGTCCATTTTTCCTAGAAGGGGTGGGGTGCTGCTAGAATGGGTGGCCAGTCTTCGTGACCAACAGTGGCCTGACATATACGTGTCTACGGAATAAAGCCTGAGCCGGCCACTACGAGCACCGAGGCAAGAAGACCTGGGGTGGACAGGCTTGGGGACACAGGGATGTCGGCGACAGGGACAGGGATAGATAGAGTGGGGTCACGTGTCTGTGACGCTAGCGTCATTTGCAGGGCAGCAACTCCTGTCTCTTGACAGAGTAGGGAGGCTGAGGCAGACAGCAGCCCTGAGGGGAGGAGAAGGCCTGGCTGCAGAGGGGGTTCTGCCGCTGGCTCCCTGTGTGACCTTGGAGAAGCCTTGGGCGATTGTCAGATACACGCATTGTTGAACCCTGGAGAAGAAAATGAACATTAGTGGAAAAAGTGGTGAAATCCCAGTGAATTCTGTCATGTTGCTGATAGCTCGTATCAGTGTTAATGGCTTCGTTTTGATAAAGGCACCGTGTTTATGTAAGATGTTCCTGTTGGGGGAAGCTGGGGGAAGCATAATTGGGAACTTTCTGTGCTATCTTTGTGGCCTGACTATAAATCTAAAGTTATTTCAAAATAGAAAGGCTGAGAATTTCGTAAGAAAGAAGCAGGTGTTGCCTATGCACGCCCCAAGTTCACTTCCGGTGCTGTGATTTGTGTGTCTGTCTCATCTGGGTCGGAGGGAGGGGCTGCCACAGAGGGTGGGGGATGGGCTGCTGACCCCGGCTCAAGCACAGGCCCAAGGGGTCTTCATGGGGAACACTGCCACCAAGTGCTCTGGGCTGAGCGTCAGGGTCAGTGCCCACCTCGGCAGACTCCGTCCCTAGATCTGGTCCTACAACAAATGGATGTTCATTCATCCCCTGTTCACGGTGCGTCACACCAAACATGCCCCTGAGCACCAAATGTGACCAAATGTGACCCACCATGGGAGGGACCCTGGGGAGAGAGGATGAGGTCTGGAGGGGAAGAGAGAGTGGGTCACCGACTTGCCCAGCCCCACCCCGATGCACCAGCTGCACAGCAGGATCTTCCCAGGAAGTGCCCTGTATTCTGGGCTCCAGGGGGATGTCAGGACACAGTCTTGAAGGTGAGGTGTAAATAGCAATGTGTCATCCAGCGCTGCCTGGAACACGATCAGCTCTAAAGTGCAGGCAGTAGGAGGACAGAGAAGAGGGCAAGCTTCCCTTCAAATTCTGTGAAGCGCTAAGACTGCAACATAAACGAGGTGGCTTGAGTCAGAAAACTTGGTTCAAATCCCAGTTCTGCCACTAAAATTGCTGTGACCTTGAGTGACTTATTTAACCTCATGTGCCCGTTTCTTCCTCTGAAAAATGTTTTCTTTTTCTTTTTCTTTTTTTTTTTTGGTCCTGGGAATTGATCCTCGGAAAAATGGAAATAAATTCTATCAATCTCAAGATAGTGATAAGGGATTAAAAGATATCAATTTAAATGAAAGGCATTAAATAAAAGCCATGGCACAGAAAAATATGATTCTCTGATATTTTTCTTTTTAATCCTAAGAAAAAGTGAAAGTAACTGAACCTCCAGGGAAGAAACCTAACTTTTTTAAAAATGTGGGATTGGTTATGTAAATCATGGCACAGCTGATTAATGAAATATAAGCAGCCACTTACAATGAAAACTAGGCAGCAGCACAGAAAATGATTACAGCCCTGTGGTAAGAGCAAGAAACCACGCACGAGATGCACCAATTCAACCATGTGTCCAGCAGATGCCTGGAGAAGATGCTAGAAAGAAATCCACTCCATGCTCAGAGGGGTTGGGTCAGGGGTGAGTGGAGAAGGGCATCAGGTGACTGTCTTATTTTCCAAATGTTCTCAACATATGTTACAGTTATAATAAAAAAATTTATTTAATAAAAAAATTCCCCAAACCACAGCAGAAACAATTAGGTATGACAAGAGGTGGTGCGTTGGTGGGGTTGAAATACACGGGGCAGGGGGGCGGAGGGCTGAGCCACACCAGGGGCTGGGGCAGGGAGAGGATAGCAGCAGTGTCTGAGGCAGGGAAGCTCAGTCCCAGGCTGTGGCCACCATGGGCAGTGGGGCTGGGTGCGGGCTCCCTGGTGTCCCTCCAGCGTGGGGCAGATGGGGGGGTGGCCTGGAGGTTGTGGGGACAGCGGGGCTCTGGAATCCACAGCTGATGCCACACAGGGAGGCCACCTCAGTGCCTTGCCCACAACTCATCCTCGTCTGCTGTCACAGTCAGGGGCATCTTCAGGGGGCAGCACCCCAGAAGGCTCCAGGCTCCCGCAGGAAGAGCAGGCAGGAGTGTTTGAGGGGACCCCCATAGCCCTGCCTGCCCTTGTCTGCTTGCCTCTGCTCCAGGGCAAATTCCCTTGTTTCTCCTCCCTTCCCAGACCATGTGGCCTGCAGGAGCAGGGCCAACCACACTGGCAGCATCGCAAAACAACAGATTTTAATGGAAATCACGCAGGAAGGAGGGAGGTGGGAGGCTAGAGTGGGGGCAGGGTGGCACGGCCCATGTCATTCCCTCCAGCCCAGGCAGGCACTCCCCTAGGCCCTCTCCCCGACACTGAACAGCAATTCTGGCAAGAGGGCAGTTCTGTAGCCCCTCGTCTAGCACGGCCACAGTATGAAGGGCTGCCTGGGAGCCCAGTGAGGATGCGGGTGGTATAAGCAGAGCTTGGGACACAGGGAGGGACAAGGCAGCAGAAGAAAGTGTTGCTTAAGCCAGAATGATTCCCAAGGTCCCCTGAGGAAGGGCTGTTTGTCTCCTGGATTGGGGCACAAGGGTTGGAGGGAGTCAGTTCCCCCTAATATGGCCTGGTACCATGGAGAGGGGCACAGGGTGGAGCAGGTGCCAGCCTGCGAAGGGCAGGTGTGAGCTTCAGTGGCACTATGGTTGTTGACTTTAGGGCCAGGGCCAGGGCAAGGAATAGGGTGCAGAGTGGTGTTTGTGGGATTGGCCAAAAGTCCCTAAATCCCCCAGTGCCATTCCCTGATGAAGCTATGTCTGGGCTGAACACCTGGTCTACCTGTCCACCACTCCTTCCCCCAGACACCAGGGGTCCCCTATTTAGCCTCTTGTAATGTTCCCACGGCCACCTTCACTGCCTGGAACACAGCCCAGTCCATCTAGGAAGAAGAAGACAAAAAGCTTTCAGTCACATGCTGAGGCCCCCTGGCTCCCCACGTCCAAGGACAGCCTTCCTCTGCACAGCCAGGTTAGCTGCCTGCTTGGCAGAGCTGAATCTGTCCTGCCCACTGAAGTTGTGCCCAGAGGCCCTTGGACAGCACACCCAGCCTGCTGGCCAGTGTCATACTCACTTGGGCATAAAGAAGGCGGCAGTCGGGGGTCAGGCTAGGTCCCTGGTGGCAGAGCTGAGCGGAGAGGACAGAGGTCTCTGGGGATAGGAAGTGCTGGGTGACACTGACTGTGCTCACCAGGCCTTGTACCTGTGCCGGGGAGGAGGTGGGCAGCAGGGTCAGCAGAGGTTCGAGGTCACACATCTTCTCCCTACCCCTCTGGTCCCCCGGCTCTACTCCCTCTGATGAACCCCACCAGCTCCCTGAGAATACCACCAGGATACAGCACCAGGCACCACACAGGGCACAGCCAAAACCAGGCCAGAGGGACAGGCCCCTCCATTAGCACCCTGCGCCCAGACCAGATCTCTGACTTCAGTACCCCTCAGCCTCTCTGACTCCTCTTCCCCAAGTGGGGCATGGCTCTCTGCCCCATAACATTATCTCAGGCACAGAGAGATGCTGCCTGGCCCTGGGGTGATCTTGTTGCTGAAAGTCCCATCACTCCACAGAGCCTCCCCGCCAGGAAAGCACCTGGTGGGGCGCCCCTGCAGGCACCAGCACAGCCTCTCCAGGGGCCTGCAGCAGGGTCCAGCAGCTCACACCCCACTCTTCCCGCAGGCGCCGTCGCAGCCCTGCGTCCAGGTAGCAGCTGCCTGGGGCGCCGGGCTCCAGGGTCCCTGCCCCAGCCGGGCATACCTCAAAGAAGAGAAGTCTAGATGAGCCCAGGGAGGAAGGCAGAGCAGGGCTTCAGGAGGGCAGGGGCAGGGGCTTCACAGGAGCCACGGGAGCAGGAGATAACTGAAGGGGTCAAATCTGAACGGGCAGGCTGGGGAGGGTATGGGTGGGAGAGAGAGGGGCTGGTAGTGAGGGACTGAGGCAGCAGCTGACAGAACATTTGGGTGGAAGGAGCTTACAGGAAAGGATTAAGGGCGCTCCAGCTGGGGGTTTGAATCCCTGCTTTTCCTGGGCTGGATGCCTCTCATAGCCTCAGTGGCCCTGGCCTGGTGCCCCCTCTTCTCTCAATAGTACCTCTTTCTCCAAAACCCAGGCAGATGTCCTGCAGGAGCCCCATTCATAAACCATCTACACCAGGAGCTCTTCACTGCAGCCTTGTGAACAGCCAGCAGTGTGTGCTGAACTGTGGGTGTGCAGGTAGCTGTGTCCCCCTGGGGAGAACCCCCCCACCGCGGAGTCAGTCTCTTAACATCCTGGCCCAGAAGGGGCAAGACCACACAGGAGCTCCAGTTCCCAGTGGGTGGACAGGCTTCTTTGTCCACAGCTGACACAGCTACGGCCAAGCCCAACCAGAGCTGGAGCTGCTAGGCAGGCAGGGACTTGTGAGGCCAGAGGAGGTGCGCAAGGAACACCTGCAGAGGTGAGCGCTCACATCAGGCTCCCACTGGCCAGCCCCTAACTCCGCCCTCTTCAGCTAAGACCTGGCCATGGTCCCTACGTTTAGGGCTAGGAGACTGAGCCGGGGATGCTGGCAGACCAAAACCCAATTGGAACCGAGGGGAGTCCCAGCCAGGTGCCAAGTGTCCTTTGCCCCAGAGTCAGGTCCATCCTGGGTCTACAGCAGTGTTTCCCAGGCCACCTAGTGAGAATGTGTCCCACAGAGCTCCCCCATGAATCATCCTATCGGGCCACATGAGACTGCCCACAGCCAGCCACACCCAAACCAGACGAGGCCATCTGCCTATGACGGTGTGCCTGTCTGCTCCCTCTGTGTTCCAGCATCTGGAACTTCATGTGTGTGCCTGTGGGCCAGGGTGGGGATGGAGTGCAGGATGAGGCACCGGCATCTGCGTGTCTGCGTGTGTGCGCGTCTTAGTGGGTGACACTTGTGGAAGTCTTTTCTTTAGAAGACTGGGCTCAGCTGGACTTTAAAGCCTTTTTCTTGTTGTTTTGAGACAGAGCATCATTATGCAGTCCAGGCTGGCCTTGAACTCACTATGTAGGCCAGATTGGCCTGAAAATGAGATTCTCCTGCGTCAGCCTCCCAAGTGCTGTGATTACAAGCATGTGCCACTTTGCCCAGCTTCACTCTAACCCTAACCTTGGTTTCCCACCTACCCTGCCCTTCTGGAGCTTTCTGCCTCTGACCTACTTCCAGCCCCTTCTCCTTCCCATGCCTCCTGTCATGGCCAGGTCCCCCCTCCGCCTGCCAGCCTGCCTCCCTCAGCTGTGTTCCTGGCCAGCACCTTCCTGGAAGTCTCCCCTCATAGGAGGGAGCCATGGAAAGGGGAGCAGCAGAGCCCCCCCTGGCCTTCTGCCAGCACCCCCTAACCCAAAGTCCAGGAAGAGAGGCTCCTGCCCCCTGGAGAAACATTAAGTAGTGATAGCTCAGATCCCAGCTCTTCCACTCAGCTCCAGTTTTCCTGCCTGAAATGTGAGAAAGTAGCCATTCCTGCCAGGGGGCAGCAAGGGACCACTGGCGGACATAATGTACCCAAGGCCCTTAGGGCAATGCCCGGCCAGCACCCACTGTTGCCCGTCTCATCCTCAAGCCCTGGCTCTCCTGCTGTGCCCTCCTGCTGTGCCCTCCTGCTCCTCTGAACCCTCCACAGACTTGGGGTCCCTTCTCTGTGCTGTCTGTGTGAGTAGGGCCCTGCAGCTCCCGGGAGGGGCTAGGGTAGGGAATGAGTAGGCAGGGACCACATACTGCCAGGCCGGGTGGGCGCAAGGGGGGGCGGCTTGAAGCTCCCTCCTCACCATCTGGAGAAAGCGGCGGATGCGCTGGGCATCTTGTGCCCGGAACACGTGCCACACAGTGCTGACCTGGCTGCCCGGAGACCACAGTCCCTCCCCGTCCAGGCCGGAAAGGAAGTCTGTGGGAGAGACAGTTCAGGTGGGCCCAGAGCACACGAAATGGGCTCCCGCTTTAATGGTGTGTCCTCGCTCCTGTCCCCAGCTGAGGACCCACCTTTCTGTGCCCGGTGCCAGGCAGGCAGCGGTGCCTCTGCATGCACCAGCACGCTGACCAGGTCAGCCACCTCCACACACAGGTTCTTGGTCCCGAGGTGTCCACGGTGCGGGCTCACGCCTACGTGGAGGTGGACATGGAGTAAGAGAATAACTCCAGTCTCCAGGACCTTGGCACTGACACCCGAGTGCCCCAAGACGACAGGGACGAGGCGGGGCAAGGAGCAGGCAGCAGTGGCAGGCACTCACCATGGGCCGCCCAGAGCTGGGGCTCCAGTGGGTGCAAGGTGAGGCCCGGTGGGAGGTAGGATGCCAGGTTGAGCTTCCCGTGGTGGGCACAGTACTCTGGGAGGGGCAGGCTGGAGGCCAGGTTCTCCACCCTGTGGGTGGCAGGGGGTCACACCCAGTGGGTCCAGCCCAGGCACGGGGCCCCCCACCGCTGGCTTAGCTCCCAGAGGGCAAGCTGGGAGCGCCAGGGGCAAGTCGGGCAGGGGTGGAGGTGAAGGTGGAGGGCAGGGGTAGATGCCGAGGGGCTGGAGCTGCGAAGCAGGTCTGGTCCTCAGGGTCCCACACACCTGCTGGCATCCTCATCTCCCAGAACTCGGTGCAGCAGGAGGACAGAGCCCTCGTCTGGCTTTGGGCGGCCTGGGGGAAGAGATAGAATGCCCTTGGCTCCTGGAGGAGCTCCAGGGCCGACAGCAGTATCTACTCCGGTCCTGCTTCCAGTGCCACTCAGATCACTCTGGGGTCCCCTTGTCACCCAGACCCTCAGACTCACGCTCCCAGCTCCCTGCAGTCCACATCAGGGATACTTACTCTCAAGCCCGGAGAATCCCTCCCAGAATGCCGCACTGTCCAGGCCTGTGGGCTTGGGGGGCCCAAGGGCAGTGAGCGCCCGAACCTGGCCTCCAAGCGCCCTGAGAGCTTCCATCCCCCACAGGCCACCTTGCAGAGTCCTCTGGATCCCTGACACCAACACAGGCTGTGGTGGGGAGAGAAGGGGAACACAGGAGGGTGGAAGGAGCCCTGTGTGGCCAGATGGGAGGCTGCTGGAGTGGCTCCAGATGCTTGGACCCAGGCCCTGGGGGCGGGGGGAGAGGCCGGCTCACCTGGCCCTGCCTCCAGTGCTCCTGGAACAGGTGGAAGCAGCGCCGAGGCCTGGGCTCCTGCAGCCACAGCAAGGCCCCAGGAGGAGGCATCCGGGGCCGCACCGGAGACAGGGACAGGCCTAGGCCCTTGCGAAGGCCTGGCCCACCCCGCAGGCCCGGCCCCAGGGCCTTCTCCTGGATCTTCCGCTCTACCACCTGCGCGATGATGCTGTCCAGGATGTTGGTGATGCGATCGTCCTGCAGGGAGGGAGGGACGGGAGGCTCAGGCCCTGTCAGGCCCCACAGAGAGGGCCGACCAGCCTCAGAACCCCAGGCTCCCAGCCCCTTCCGAGCCCTTGCTCACGCTGGGCAGGGCCGGCGTGACGGGGGCGAAGGCCATGTGGATGCGCTCGTGCCCCAGGCAGAGTTTGACAGCAGTAGAGGCCAGCAGTTCACAGAGAGAGGGACAAGGCAGGGGCCCTCGGCTGGCTCGGTCCTCTGCTGGGGTCTCAGTAGAGTCTGGGGTCTCTGGAGTCAGGGAGGAACATGGTGAGGGGCTTCCCGTGTTGTCCTCATTTTGCCCTTGACAGATGGCTCCCTTCATTTCCCGGCCAGTCTGCTCTATCCTCCCAGTATCCCCCATTTGCTGAGTTCTGGGCTCTCTCCTCCCCATAGCACTGCTGGAGAAGGCAGCTCTGAAGATTCTGAAGAGAGGGTGTTCGGAGGGCGGGCCCCAGGGCAGTGATGGAGATCAATGGCCGGGGGTGAGAGCATGTTTGCCAAAGCAATCCAAGTCACTCCCAGACACTCCTACTGCCGCTGCCCTCCCCCCTCAACCTCCAGCCAGCCTCCAGCCCACACCGTCCAAGGGGCACAGGGAAGCACTCACCCTCTTTGATGTCCTTGGTCCTGTTGGAATCCCCATTGCAGGAAGGTTGTGGAGTTGGGGGAGTTTTCTCTGTCGGCTCCTTCTGTTAAACCCACCCACCACCCCCCAGTCCAGCCAGAGATTTAAAAAGTGACAGACACAATTCAACTCCACCTATAAGAATTTTTTGTTTGTTTGTTTGTTTGTTTGTTTCCTGTATCAGGAATCGAACTCACAACCTCATGCTTGCCAGGCAGGCGCCGTGCCACTGAGCTAAATCCCCAGCCCCTACCTATAAGAATGAATGTGGGACAATTGTAGGCCCTCAGATTATGTGTACAGGGGCAAAGTGTTATAGCACAGAATGTCAGGAGGAATAAAGTTGTGCACAGACTTTTCTGAATGGTACAACATACACTGAAATAGATGTGAATAAATATATAGATAAATGACTGCTAAAAAGTATGTCATTGATGATGGCACAAGAGGTCCTTATTGTTTTTTTCCCTCTGTACTTGTCTATGTTTTCCAAATTTTCCACAGTGGGTACATACGTGGCAACAGTGTATATCTGAGTGCATTTAATGGCCTTTTCTTTCTTCTTTTCTTGGGGACAGGGCTTAACTATGTAGCTCAGGCTGACCTGCAATTCATTATGTAGCCCAGGATGGCCTCAAATTTGAGGCAATCCTCCTGCCTCAGCTTCCAGAGTACTGGGATTACAGGTGCGCCCCAAGATGCCTGGTTAATGAACTATTTCTCGAATAGATGACTTTCATCATAAAAACATGAACTTTGTAACAACCTTGCACAATGCACTCTGAACACCTGCACTGTGCGTTAGGTGCTGGGGCCATGCAGCAAGGGGACGGAGGTGTCACCAAAAGAGCCCTCAGCTGGGGTCATGCCCTGGGGCATCTCGAGGGGGAGGTGGTAAGTGCTGAGCTAGAAGATGTACAAAAGGGACCAAGACTCCAGGCGCAGAAGGCATGAGGATTCCTGACAGGGGTGTAGAGGGGAGAGGCCAAGTGCTAGTGTGGGCTGCAAGGGTCCTAATTCCCAGAAGGGAGCATATGGTCCAGTTCCTTGAGTTCCATGTCCCTCTTCATCCAAACCCCTTGCAAAAGAGGCCAGCCAATTGCAGGCACCTCCTCCGCCTTGGGCCCACCCACCAGTCCTAGCCACCTGGGCCACGCCTTGTTTCTTACCTGCTGTCCCCCAGCCCCAGGGGCCCACACCCGGGCATCAGCTTGGCAGAGGCAGTGCCCCCGAATGTCAAACTTGGCCCAGACCTGGTGCATTGCGGTGCTCAGTTCTGCCAAAGCTGGGGTGGAGAGAGAGACGGAGTGTGGTGACACGAGCAGCCCAGACGCTTGACCTCTCTAAGCAGGAGGGTGCGGCACCAGGGTCAGGCACAACCAGACAGGGAGCTGGTCTCCCTCAGGACCCACCCGCTGCATGCCCCACCCCTCCTGCTGGCTCACCCTGGCTGGAGACAAACTGGGTCAGCACCAGGGAACAGGCAGTGTGCCCAGCCTCCTGGGCACACTCCTCCAGGGACTGCTCCTGAGAGCCTGCAGGGTGGGAGGGAGAAGCTGCAGATCAAGCAAGCACAGTAGGGGCTGGGGATTTAGCTCAGCGGCACAGCGCCTGCCTGGCAAGCGCAAGGTCGTGAGTTCGATTCCTGGTACCGGAAAAAAAAAAGAAAGAAAGAAAGCACAGTAACCACAGGTTAAGGTCAGGGAAGAAGGTCCAGGACACGTCATTTAAATCAGGGCTCAACAAGCTATCAAGCTGGTGGGGCTGGGGATTTAGCGCAGCGGCACAGTGCCCGCCTGGCTAGCGCAAGGTTGTGAGTTTGATTCCCAGTACTGGAAAAAAACCAAGCTATCAAGCTGGGCATGGTGGCACATGCCTATAATCTCAGCACTCTGGGACACTGAGGCAGGAAGATGCAAGTTTGAGACCAGACTGGGCAATTCAACAATTTAGTAAAGTTCTGTCTTAAAATAATAATAATAATAAAAATAAATAAAGAGCTGGGGCTATCACTCAGTATGAAGGCCTTGGGTTTCGTCCCTAGTACAAAAAAATCCCATCAAGCTTCTGCTTCTTGAGCCATGTGGGTACAGAGTGACAGAGGACCCTGCCGAACTCAGAGGTTTCAGATGCTTGGATGTCTTGCAAGATTCCAAGGTGGTCGGTCATATGGCAGAGAGTGTTCTGATTCTGGAATTCTCTTTTGGCCATGTGCACTGGGACACTAGGACACTTCAAGACCTCAAGTGGTCAAGGGAAGCCAAGGGGGAGAAAGCTGAGAACGATGGCAAGAACAGGACAGAATCAGAAGACAAGTCTGAGTCCTGGCCGTAACATTTACTAGTTCTGTGACCTTGCACAAGTCACTTAACATCTCTGGGTTTTTCTCATCTGGAGAAGGGAGGCAATAATACCCACTTCAGTGTGTTACAACAGGTTTTAAAAGGTGCAAGCTGAGCAAAGTGGGAGGCATAAAGTAGGCTCCCGACTTCTGTTAAGGGTGGGCAAGGACACTGGTGAAGCCCTCTGATCTGGGGAGAGGGAAAGGTCTGCTCTAAGGGGCAGTGGGCAGTGGTGGCTAAGGCTGGGACTTGGCTGGGCTGGGGGAGGCAGCCCCCACACAGCAGCACCCCTGGAGCGAGCGGTCCTGCCACGGCCTCCCTGCCTGCCCGATTCCTACCTGCCTTCTCCCTGGCCCTCCCTGCACTGGCCACACGCCCACAGGCCACACACAGCCGGTGGCTGCAGCGGGGGCATCTCCAGTGGGTGTTGAAGAGTCCGTGGTGGCAGCGGCTACAGCAGCGTGGGGTGCCCGGGCTGTCCTCTGTCACAGCTGGCCCCTGGCCTGCTGAGCACAGAAAGAACAGGGTCAGAGGGTTGAAGGCGATGGCCCTTTCAGGAGCTCAGCCTCCAGCCAGAGAGGTGAGAAGCAAAAAGTTTCTACTGAGCACCAACAGAGAAGGGAGACAGGGACAGACCTCGGCCATGTCCCTCTTGGTACTCAATAGCCACATCCAGGGCTTCCCTATAGAGGCCTCCTCTCTAGCAAGCCCCCCAGGACCCCACCCTGCCTGCCTTCCCTTGGCCCAGGGATTGCTCACTGAGCCTGAATTACTAATCTACGTTGCTTCCAGAACATTGCTCATCTACCTTCCTCCCTTCCAAGCCCTATGAGCTACCGGAAATGAAAAGGCATGTCACTACTTAGGAGGCCTGTCCCCTAGGGGACTCTATATATTAGAGGAGGAAACCTTCAGGCCACCCCTGCCCCCCCAGGCCACTCTGGCCCTTATGCAAAGGAGTAGATTCTGTTAAGAGCCTAGTTTCAGACCATGCTGTCACTGGTGCTGCTGAGCATGCATTCAACAGATACCTGATCATGTCCCAGGTGGGCACAGGGGACCCTGGCCTCCCAGACCCACAGACCCACCAGGAGGGCATCTCAAATGGGGGGGGTGGCTTCAGGAATAGACCTGAAGGATGAGTACATTTTCATGCACCAGGTAGGAAGGGAGGAGCAGGGCATTCCAGACCGAGGGCACAGCCAGCGCCAAGGCCCTAGGGGAATGACAAGCTCGGGTGATCCGGGAAGCAAGGGATGGTGGTATGTGTACTGGGAATCCAGGCTGGGGGTGGCTGGAGCCCATAGGAGCCCCTGAAGAAACTAGGGGGCTGGCTTTGCTGGGGAAGAGGAGCCACCAGCAATTACCCAGGGAGCGACAGGCAGCCAGGCCAGGAGTTCTCTGTCTCCAGTGACCACTCTGGTACTGTGAGAGGCTGCCAGAGGCCTCCTGAGCCCATGACTCACCCCAGCCAGCCTTCCTTGGCCCTCAGGCCCCCGGAACCCACCCACTACCTCCCAGAGCTCTCACAGACACTTGTCTCAGCCCTATTTTCCCCACAAGCCCTGAAGCTCTCAGAGCACTGGGTTGGACCAGGTTTTACACGTCCCAGCATCCTGCCCCCGCCACACCCAGGCCAGAAACCTCAGCGTTGACTAAGAACCCAAGTCAGGCATAAGGACAGGGCAGGGCGGGAGCTCCTCTGAGGTCATGGCAGGCCTGGGAACCCAAAGGTTGGCGGGGTGGAGAGGGCCGGTTGGCCCCTGCGCAGGCGCAGGAGGGAGGTCTGGCTCACCTTCGCGCTGGGCCCAGGCCAGGGCCTCCCGCTCCCTGCGCAGCAGGCGGCACAGGCGGTCCCCCAAACCACTCAGCAGGTGCTTGGCAAGGCCCATGCTGAGCAGGTCGGAGCCAGACCCTCCTCCTTCCTGGGAGTCTTCCTCCTGCTGTGGCTCGGCACCCAGGGGTGGCCTGTAGACGGGCAGAAGAGCATGAGGAAGGCCCTCCTTGGGGAGGGGAAAGGAGCGGATTCGGGGCAGCAGGGGCCATGCTCACCTCTGTGCTTCCTGGGAGTGGCAGGCCAGCTCTCCCACCCCTCCAGCTGCCTGGGCACAGCTTTGGCACTGAGTGACGCCTGCCGAGAGAGCCACGCCAGGTGTGTCCTGAGGCCCAGGGTCCTGGATGCTGGCCCTGCCACCTCGGGGTCCTGAAGAGACAATGCAGCTGGTCAGGAGTCTGGGTTTCAAGGCTCCTGCCAACCCTGACCTTAGTATCCACCCAGCCCACACGCACAGCCAGGCCAGCCCCTCGCCCCAGCTTGTGAAGTATCATGGGAACCAGCAAGAGGGCCCCAGGTGGCTAGAAGGTCCATATACATGCTGAACCACAGCTTGAGACTGCCCTGGCATGGACTGATGCCCAGGGAAGGGGTTGTCTGGGATGTTGAGCCCAAGGCTTTGGGCAGCTGGGGTGATGGGCCTCATACAAATGCAGGATCCAGCTGGTATAGACTTTAGATAGCTCCACTGAGGGTTTAGTAACACCGCTGGCTGCATGACAAAGTGAGTAGATAATCCAGTGTGGACGCAGATGGACACACAGAGCATGCCGGAAAGTGAGAAGGCCGGTTTCAACACAGGCCACAGGTGCAGTGACCCAAGAAGGCGAGGGGGCCAACAGCTTCGCAGTCTAAACCAGGGTGAGGCCTGGCGCGGACAGACGCGTGCCAACTGCAGGGGCACTGGGAGACGCCACGGGGATGGTACATGAGGTCCAGACCCAGCAGCACAGAACTCTGACAAAGGAGATAATCCCAAAGAGCCAAAGCTGAGGCTGGCAGTGCCAGGACCCTTGGTGAAGGACACTGTGACAGAGGACCCAGGTTGTAGCCACGGTCTGAATAGTCCAAGCAACCTTCATGATCCGGTTGACCAAGAGAGGCAAGACAGGCGATCCGTCCAGAGACAAAAATGCCCAAGCCAGAGTTGTGGCACAAAAAAATCAGAGCGGCGAACATTTATTGAAGGTCTACTAAGCACCACAGATTCTTCAGTGCCCTTGATGGAACTTGTTACAGTAGTTAGTCCTTGGAGCAGTCTTCATGAGGCAGGCATCATCTTCACGTCCATTTCATAGATGAGCTGAGGCTTGGAGAGGTGAAGTGACTCACCCAGGCTCACATGGCTACTGATCAGCAGAGTCAGAAGCAAGTACCGCGATTTGAGGGCCCAGACTCTGAACCATATCATTCATTGCACTGCCACCAAAGCACCATGGGTTGGCAGGGACAGAGGGAGATGGAAGCCACTTGCTGGAATGCTGTAGATGGTGAGGCAGCCCTGAGCCACTGGGATCCAGGTGGAAACCTGACATCTGGGTGTGATCCACTCATAAAGCGCTTACAGGGTCCCTCCCCCGCAGAGCCCCAGTCCTGCCCCCCGTCCCTGCAGCCCTCTGCCTGCCTTACCTCTCTGTGCATCATGCTGTTCTGCTTCCGCCTTGCTCCCTACTGATGCGTCCAGCACCTCCTGCCAACCCCTGGCCTCCTGGCCTGTGGTGCCTGGGAAAGGGTCAGGTGGGCGCTTGGGGGCTGGGCCACCCATGGCTCCCTGGACCTCGGGGCTGCCTGCCCTCTTGAGGGCCCGGAGCTGGGCAGCTGGGCTCTCCTCTTCCGCAGGCCAGCCACTTGGGCACCCAAACTGCTCCGAGTGCCGTGTGAGCCACGTCTTCTTCAGTTTGGTGTGGTGGTTTGGGGGACAGGCTCTGGGACCCACAGCCTTGTTCGCTTCCTCGCTGGACTCAGCAGGCCCACTGGAAACCCCCTCCAGGCCCTCCTGGCACTTCCCACAAGGACCAACATCCCCCTCTCGAGCAGGTGGGTGGGATGAGCAACAGCCCCCCTGGGTGGTAGGAGGCCCAGGAGAGGGGCACCGTGGCGTGACAGGTGGCCCTAGCTGGTACCCCAGACTGCCACTGCCTGGCACAGTCCAGACATTGCCAAGACTATGGACCAGGCCAGGAGGACAGGTGGGCCAGGCGGTCCGGGGAACAGTGTCTGGATGTCCCAGGACAAGTGAGCGAAGATTCTTCGGCCTGCCAGCTCCTGGATTTCCCTCCCTCTGGTGGAGTGAAGGGCCTTCTGCCTCTCGTGCTCTCTGCAGAAGACCACCAGGGGCTGAACCCAACAGCCCAGGTTCCAACACTGCAAAGGAGGGCTCCTTTGCCAGCCTGAGAGTGCTCGGATCCTTGGGGTAAAAGCCCTAGGAGAGGAGAAAGGATTAAGTGAGTGCTGGCTTTGGTTCCCTGTACTTAAAGACAGACAGAACTGACATTAGCATTGTCATCAATAAAACACTACTGCTAGGAAACCTCCAAATCCCTTACAGGCTAGGTGATAAATGGTACCACCCTGAGCACCCCAGGGGGTTCCCCACTGCTCCAAGTTCCTCTAGATCACCCCCCCAATATATGAACTTCACAGTACAGTAGCTAAGGGGTTAATGCCTGGCACAGACAAAGGACATTGGGATGTACTTGGATTATTTAGTGCCCTGACACATACTGGCTTTGTTATACTTTGTTTTTTAATTTTGAGACAGGGTTTTCCTACATGTTGGCCAGAATGGCCTTAAACTTGTGATGCTCCTGCCTCAGCCTCCCAGAGTGCTGAGATGATAGGGATGTGCCACCACACCCAGCACCATGGTATTTTTAAAATATTTTAATATCTCAAACTGGGCATGCAGGTTGCCTACGGAGGAGGACAGCAAGATACAGGGCATGAGGTCACCTGCACATCCCACTTCCAGACAGAGAGGTCTTGTCTGCCTGCCTGTCCTTTGCCCCAGGACAAGGCCACACACGCCAAGGTCAGAGCTTCTGAGGCCTTGGCCTGGGTGGATGGCGTGGGAGCCGATGGCTGCTCAGGCTGAGGGCAGGGAAGCGACGGGGAATGGAGCTGCGCTGAGGGCTGGCTGCTTAGGCCGACTTCAGGGCCTGGGATGGCTCTGAGCTGCCTGTCTGAGTGGCCCTGCCTTGTCTTTTCATCAGAATGGAAGGAAAGACTGGTGCAGCCCTGGCAGGGCTCCTTGGGGACCGCTGAGCTGCCTTGTGTGGCTGAGCCCCAGGTGCCCTCTCTGCTCCGGCACTCACCTTGTTGCCCAGGCTGAAGGCAGACGGCGCCTTGGGCTGGCCCCCAGGGTACATCCAAGGGTGTGGGGCCAGTGGCCAGTCACATGGACGCTCTGGGGGCAGGCTGGACACTAGGTAGGGTGGCAGGCAGGTGGGCACCCAGAAGGGAGCTCGCTCCAGGATCTTGGTCTCCAGCAGAAAAGGGCAGTGTAAGGGCCTGAGGGCCACGGGATCACCCTTGGGCTGTCCCCCACTGTGCTCAGGAATGAGGGGGCCATAGTGCGGAGGGCACACTGGCCCGCAGAAGGCCAGCGGGTGGGCCAGCATTGCCTCCTTCCAGCGCAGTCCATCCTTGCCGCCCAGCCAGCTGGCCTTCCTCTCCCCATTCTGGGGGCCCTCTCCCTCCACCAGCGGGAAAGTGTCCTTGGGGCCCTGGGGGAAGCCAGGGGGAAGCCAGGAGTCTGGGGTGCTCAGGACGCCCCTCCAGAAGGGGGCAGGCTCTCCAAGGCACAGTGACCCGTGACGCAGGCTGTCCCTTGGTGGAGTGCCCGGCTCCTGTCCCATGATGCCATTTTCAAGGACCGTCTTCTCCCAGGCTGGGGTGTCCTTCAGGAAGCTGGGCGTACTTGCCATCCCTCTCCTGCCCTCATGGGGCTCTCCCAGGGGGATCCCTGAAGCATAAACACCAGAGCATGAGCTCCCAGAGCACATGACCCAAGCACCTTACTGCTGGCACAGAAAGGGCACCACCCTGGCAGCACCAAAGTGGTTCAAACCAGTTGAGGCAAGTGCTGGTCCACAGCAGGGCACCAAGCAGACTACCATATGTGGCCAGAGGGATTCTGCCTGGGAACCCTTAAATTCTGGCTCCCACCTGAATTTCGGGTGTCGAATTCATTGAAGGCTGCCATTTTTAGGGTGACATGTTCTAGCTTCATTGAGCCAGAACCCTGGTTACCAGCTGAAGAGGACAGGGAGCCAGAAGGTGGGAGGCCCTGACTCAGCCACCTGCTGGGTGACTTTGGGCAAGTCCTGTCACCCCCCAAGCCTGTGTGAGCCCTGACGTGAAGTGCGGCTGGGGTCTCAGAGGACAAACAGAAGTCTGTGTAGGGGATGCTTCATGCTTGCCCCAGCCCCCAGCCCTAGCCAGGCTTGCAGGGCCGGGAGTGCAGGCCAGGCAGGCTGGAGTCACCGTCACTGTCACCAGGAGGGCACCCGGCCAGGGCTGCTGGCTGTTGTCTCCCCACACCTGGGCGGCCCTTCCTCTGCCTCTTCCCAGGCCCTAATTTCTTGGTTTCTCCAGCAGAGCCAGAAAATCTGCTGGGGGCTAGCATCGTGGTGCCTCCCAAGAGGAGGGCATTAACTACACGGCTTCTTCAGGGATAGGTGAGCAGCCCTAGCCTAGCCTCAGTGCCAGGGCGCGGAGGGTAACTGCAGCCCGGCGGGAGGAGGGAAGGAGGCGGGGAAAGCGGGCTGGGCCCCAGACAGAGGCAAAGGAGGGAAAATTGAACGTGAATGCGTGCGAGGGACCAGGATGACAGGTGGCACCAGAACGGCAGAGCTCTCTAAGCGCTGTCCCCTTGGCCACCGCCTAAGCCCTAGGAGAGTGAAGCGGGAGGCGTGGGAGAGCGCGTCCGGGCTTTCTGGTGCTGCCGCTCTCACGCGCTCTCGCGCCTGTTAGGACGACCCTAACTTCTGGACGCTGGGTCGAGAGGTCCGTCTCAGGTGCTGGGACCCACTCCTTCCGAAATCCCCCCGGGGTCCCCTCTGTGAGATTACCTGGGCTTCACGGACCGGGCGCGGAGCAGGCGGCGGCAGTTGTGCTGGCCGGCGCCGGGCACCCGCTCCCCATGGGCCGGCTCAGGCCTCCCGGCCGGCGGGCGGGCGCGTGGTCGTCGCGTTCTCCGCTCAGCGCGCTCGCGCTCTCTTTTCCCCCGGGCGGCGGGGGCGCTCTAGGATCGCAGGTTGGAGGGGTCGGACTCCGGGATCTGCAGGATGCGGCACACGGCGCGGATCGGCCGCACCAGCTTCTGGGCCGAGGCCGTGGGTTGCGCCATGGGACGCCGAGACTCCGTGCTGCGCTTTGGGGAGGGCCGGACCGGGGCTAGGGAGCGGGTGCCCCCCGGAGGGAAAGAGGGAGCTGGGCCGGGGGGAACGCGCGCCCCGGGTCGCAGATGGCTGAGTAGGGGGAAAGGCCGAGGGGCCGGGGGAGGGGGTCGAGCCTGAAAGGGGGCCGATCCCGTGACCCAAGAGAGAGGCACCGGCTAGGGCTCAGCACCGCGCGACGCGGCTAATGCAGGGAGAGCGCAGCGGAGAGCGCAGCAGGACCTCCGATCGCCATCGCCAGATGCGCAACTGAGAGTGGGGAAGCTGCTCCGCCGGTTTCCTCCTCCAGCACCCTGCGGGAAACAGGAGCCCGTGATTCGGCGGCCCCGCCTGGGCCTGCCCCCTCCTGAGCCCCGGGGGCTTCCGCCAACGCCCCGGCGATGCCACCGGCTGCGCAAGGGGAGAATGAGCCCTTTGTTCACCCCTCCTCCCCGCGGCACCCGGGCGCCTGCCGGGAGAGGCTCCCCCGGGGCAGCGTGCCAGCTTCCCAGCCGCCCCACCCTCCCGTGGGCCCGGCCCCGGAGCCTGGCAGGCGGGCAGCACCCCCACTATAGGTGCCAAGCCCGGGAACTGGAGCAAAGGGCGGGAGGGGCCGGACCAGGCCACCTTGGGGCGGGGTGCCCCCCGGGGTGCTAGGGCGGAGGCTGGGAGGGGACAGTGCTAGAGCTGGCAGGGGCAGTCGGGTTCTCACGGGTCAGTGATGGGCGCTGTGACCCACGCCGGCCTAGCCTTGGTCGCTGGACCACTCTCTCCTGGTCCTCTCCAGAGGAGGCCCATGGACACAGGGCTGTCTGCTGTCTCCCCTGCCTCATCCTCACCTGGCCAAGCTACTGTTGGTAGTCCCCCACCCAAGACCCCTCCCCGTCTGTCCTAAGGCCCAATGTCACTAGGTGTTGTGTTTAGGCATCTGGCACAGTCTGCCACCTGGTCTGTCCCCGGTCTATGGGCCTGCGTTTCGCCAAGTATCCAGAGATGATGGGCTCAGAGGAGCTCCACCTTGAGCTCCCGCCCTGGGTTCTGAGGGTCTCTGCATCCTCGGGGTTCCCCGTGTTCCCTGGCCAGGTGCTGGAGAGGAGCCTATAGGAGTGGCCCCTGGGAGGGAATCGAGAGTAGGAGAGGAAATGGGCAAACAGGGCACCCTCCACCAGAGGAAGCATCCCGGCTCGTCTGCGGGGGTGGTTCCAGAGCGCAGACACAAACAGACAGATTCAAACACACACAGACAGATTCAGACACACACAGAAACCCACACGCCCAACGGGCACTTCCCATCCCCGCAGGCACCCATCTCCTGCCCTCTACTCTCCTGCCTCCCTGGCCAAAACAGAAGTGACCTCTCCCCACTTCCCCATCCCACGGCGTGCTGGAGGTCCCCAAGCTGCTCCCAAGTCAGAGGACCATCCCTAGAGAGGGGAAACTGGGGAGCCTGGCCAGGCCGGAAGCTTCTGCCCAAGAGACCAAAGCATAGGCAGGGAGCCTCTCACGCATAGCAGAAAAGAGGAGGGGGTCCTCTTGAAGCCCAGGGAGAGAGGTCAACAGGGCTGGCACTAGGCACTACTTGAGCCATGTTGGCACAGATCTCCCCAGCCCCTGGCCTCCCCCAGGGTCCGGTTCTGTGGCAGGACAGGCTGGTAGGGGTTGTTTACATGGCTGAGCTATTCACACTCCCTTCTTTCCTCAGCTCTCCTGGGGGCAGCTGGACCTGAGAGAGGCAGGGGAGAGAACTTTGGAGGGTCTAACAGGGCCTGGAGGCCCCACGTTCTGAAACTTGCTCCAGAGCAAGATGGTGAGCCATGGTCCCTGGGCTCTGGCCTCTGGCCTGCCTGATCAGCAGCCCAGGCTCAGGAGAAGAGTCCAGGGCAGAGTCCTGTGGCTTGGGGCCTGGAAGAGGCCAGAGTGGGAACCTGGGCTGTCCAGTGCCCTGAGGGCCTGTTGCTCTCATCCCCAAGGAGATGGGGACTGGCCCCAAGAGAGTGGAACGGACCTCCCTTTACTCCCAGTTGCCGTGTTGGCCTTATCAAGTCACAGTGCGTGGTCTGGACCAGGCCCTCAGGACAGGCTCCTGGAATGTCCAGAGGCTGGTGGGAGCTGGGAGGGGGGAAAGACCCCTTTCCTACCCCCACCCTGATCCCCATCCTGCCTCAGAGCCCTGCCACAGGCCAAAGCCCTTGTTGCCGACTGTTCTGTGCCTGAGGATGGAGCAAAGCTGAGGACACACAAAAGACACAAACACAAAAGGAAAGCCACCCAGCGCGTGGACACAACGCCAGACCCAGGGACCGTGGCAAACTGGTGGGCACCCCCAGACACACGTGGACCCAGCCCCAGCGGTGCCGACCCCTGGCGCACTGACACACACACACACACACACACACACACGCAAACACATGAACTGACACACTGGTGCTGACGGCACAGCAGCACTGACAGCCAGCTGCCCTCTCCCGGCCCCAGAGCCCCTTACCTGGGCAAGCACAGTGCCCCTCGTGGAGCAGCCCCCTGCCCAGGGTGGGCAGCAGGCAGGGCGGGGGAAGGAGCCCCGGAGAGTCAGGCCAAGCTGCCACTAATCCGGGCGGGGAGAGGGGGGGCACCCACGTCAGAGCGGGGACTGCCGGGTGGAGGGCATCTGAGGACATCCCCTCCCACACACGCGGCCGTCTGGGCACCTAGCCCTGCTTCCCAGCCCCTCCATCCTCCAGACAGCTGAGGCTGGCCTCCCCCCACCCCACCCCCACCCTGTGGCAGCGCCTGGGGTGGGGGGCATGGGGGAGGGGAACACTGGGAGAATTCTCCCAGGACCTGAGGGGAGGGGAGGGGAAGGGAAGTGTGGAGATGCTTCTGGGGCCAGGAGGAAGCTCGGTGGCAGATGCCACCCTCCCCTCTTGCCCACCCACCCACATCCTTGACCTAATTCCTCTTCTGGAGCCCTCCTTCCCCCCACCTCCCCTGCCAGCAATCTAACCTCCATCTGCCCCACACTCAGGACCCTATGCCCAGGAGGGCCAGCTCTGGCCCCCAGGACTCCCCCAGCAGCAGGCAGCATCCTCTGGCTTGGGCTTGCCCTCTTACCCCCCAGCTACTGGGACACGTATTTTCTGATGCTGGGTGGGGCATAGAGGCAAGGGCCTAGTTACTCGCCCCCTCAACCCCCTCAAGTTGGGGGGTGAAGAGTGCCCACCAGGCCTCCCCAGCTCAGCCTGGGCCAGGGTAGCGCTGATCTAGAGGCTCATGGTGCTGCTGCTGAGTGCGACAGCTAAAAATACAGCATGGGCCAGTGTGTGCAGTGACGTGGATGCCAGGAGCAGGGAGGGGATCAGGACACCGAGGGGCTCCGGGCTCCAGGAGACATGGATGTGGCCAAAGAGCAAGGAGGTACAGCAGCCCTCTGGAAGGGCCAGAGGATGTCGGGAGGGAGGTGGGGCAAAGGGAGAAGGAGGATGAGACAGAAGGATGGCCTGTACCAGGAAGGGCAGAAGCGGAGGAGCCCTGGAAGGAGACCAGGTGGGTGTGGGAGGCTGAGTAGGGGGCTGGGACCAGGACACAGCAGAACCGTGAGTCTGAGGGGCTTCAGGTCGGTCCTTTCCCAGCCCTGATCTTGCCTGGGGAGGGTGGCACAGGGCTGGTGAATAGATTGAGGACCATGGGCAGGTGGGGCCCAGCCCAGCCTTCCTCCAGAAGCCAGAGATCCAAAGGGTGGGCCAGGGACCCCACCCAGAGGGTGGACCTGCTGGGCAGAGGGTGTTTCTCAGAGGGGTAGGGTCAGCCGCCACCCAGTGCCCTGAGCCTCGGGATCATGTGTGTACTTGGCCAGAACTGCCCTAGACTTGGACTTCTCTTCACTTCTTCTCTGGCCTCAGGATATCTTGGAAGTCAGACAACTGCAGTCAGCCATTCACCAACTTGCATTAGGGAGACGCTGGTGGCTTCAAGGCTTTGTGGTAAGCCGAGGTGATGCAGGGTACAGAGCCCAAAGCACAAGGCTATCTCTTCCTTGGCACCGGAAGAGCTCACAGTTGGGCTCAGTGCATTTGCTCTTCTGGCCTCAGAGGTGTCAGGCCCCAAGTGAGGACACAGAAGTGACGGCTGGGGAGCTGGACACATTAGCAAAAGATAACCAGACACTTTAATCCCGCTCTGGGGAAGTTGGGGCTTCCTGGAGGAGGCGATACTTGAGCTTGGAAATGGAGAACAAGCGAAACTTCACCGAATCACACACTTACAAAAATATTTTGCTTCCTTTAAGCCACTTGTTCCGGGCTGGGATACAACAGTGAGGTACATCTGTTCTTTATGAAGTGACAACGCAGTGGGGGAGAAAATATGATTGCTCCAGGCAAAAACGTAGGAGCAGGGATGATGAGAACTGCAGAGGAGCAAGTGACACGATGCAGGGCTCCCCATGGGGGCTTCCAGGAGTGGGGGAGGCTGCAGTGGGTGTGAAGCAGACAGGAAGAGGACTGGGTCCTGCCTGTGCCACAGGTGGAGTACAAAGCTTTACCAACTTTGCCCTAGGCATGCCCTAGGGACCTGCCCACTCTAGGGCCCCAACCCAGGACGGAGCGAAAGCGGAGCCCCTGCCTGACGCGACGGTTGGCAGAATTCAAGGAAATCATCTCTACGAAATGCCTAGCACAAGGTCAGGCATGCACCAAATGTTCCATACATGTTCGTCTCCTTCTCCTTGCCTCCCAGGCAAGGAACAGCTCATTTACCCGGGTACTGTTTGGTGATTAAGTGCATTGACTCTGGAGCCAGACTGTTTGGTTCAAAGCCCAATTCTGCCACTTATGAGCCATGTGACCTTGGGCAAATCACTTGCCCTCTCTGTGCCTGTTTTCCTGTTTGTGAAATAAATGAAGATTATGATAATCATACCCACATCCTGAGATTGTGGAGAGGATTAAATTAATGTATGTCCAGGGCTTACAGCAGCATCTGCCAACCACTGCTACTCTTTACACCGTGTGTCTGGTACCTGTAGATGCTCAATAGGGATTTTAATGAAGAGGTAAGACTACACCATGATATGGGGGGATGTCACACATGAAGCCATTGGGCATCCACACATAAGGCAATAAATCACCCCAGCAGATTAAGTGCCTCCCCCCCAATAAAACCCAGATAATCCCTACACCAAGAGTTAATCCTCGCTTTCAGGCCCCTCCGAGCTATCAACTTGTTTCCCTTCCTCTCATCCAGTGTTCTCATCCACCTCTCTGCTTACTCCACGTGGGGGTGGGAGAGGGAAGCAGGCCCGGATCTGGTCGCAGTGGCGACACCAGCATCCACGGCAGCAGAGGGTTGACCCATGGATCAGAGGAGGCGTTGGAGCAGAGCCAGCCCAGACACAGAGCTTGGGTCTCAGGAGTGCAGAGGAGGCCCTGTGGATGGGGCAGGCCTCAGATCAGTGGCCACAGGCAGCAGGGAGGGCCCTCAGAGGCCCTGCCCGCGTTCTGCATCGTCCCTGCAGCCAGCAGCCAGCAGCCAGCAGCCAGGCCCAGGCAGGGCGAGGCTCTGGCCTGGCTCCGAGCCCCACCCTCCTTGACCTGGAAGCTGGGGGCAGCCTACATGCTGGCTGCTGCTGCCCCCGCGTGGGCACTCCTCAGAGTGCAAGCCACCTTGGCCGGTACCTGAGTATTTGAAGAATTCAAACACCCAGACCACTCCCCCAGACTCGAGGAGGACCAAAGCCCCCTCCTAACTGACAGCTTCTCAGACTGCAACTGTTCTCTGGACTGGCCCCTCAGTCTCCCATCTGTGTCCCCCGAGCTCCCCGAGAGCTTGACCAGGACAGCACTGGCTGCTCTGCCAGACCTGTCAACAGCTGTCTCCCAGAGAACCACACTCCCTGCAGTCTGTCCTGCCCTTCACACTGGCCTGTGGGGGGGTCTCAATTTGCAGTGTGTGATGGGAGGAGTAGGAAGACACATCAGGAGAAGCCCAGCATCTTTATGCATTTATTTACGAAAAAGTTCACAAGCCTCACCTCATTCACCAACACAAAACATACAACCGGGACACACACATCAGGCCTTGGAAAAGGCTGTCAAGTACTTAGAAGGACAGGAAGGAATGCACAGTTGTGTGGATTTTCGGTTTCATTGGCAAGGGTTTGGGGGGCTCTAGTCCCACACCCCAAAAGGCAGAGGGTTGAGGAAGGCAATAAATAGGACCATGGGCCCAAAGGCTTTGGTACATGGCGGGTTCATCCCAGCAGCTGCCCTGCAGGAAACAGGCGGCTGGTGCAGGCAGGCCAGATGTGCAGCTGAGGTCCCTGCAGACAGCCTCCCAGGCCCTTCAGGGCACGAGGTAAGACTGGGCTTGACTCTGCAGGCCCTAGCTGTCCATGTCAGAGGGCACAGTCTTCTTCCGGGTCCAAACCTTCAGGGAACGGGAGGTACCCTGGGAGGACAGAGGGACACTGAGTGGGTGTGGGCTGAGGTGCCAGGACCAGCCGCCTCCCTCTGATGTCCTTGCTACTGCCACTGACCTCCCGCACCAGCGGTTTCCTCTTGACCATGCGCAGGCTCTGGCTCCGGCTCAGCGGCTTTTCTCGGGGTCGGGCAGATGGCTGGGGGGCCACCTCAGTATCCGACCAGCACCCATCCTCTGTGTCACTGTCCTGCAGGCCCCCTGCCCGATACCCTGCAGAGACCACAGAAGGCAAAGCCGGGCATTTACACAGCCTCAAGGCCCAGGCCCTCGCCGGGCCTCCCTCCAGCCCCTCCCAGGAGGGCTTTGGGTTCCTCGGCCACTCACTGATGGGTGGTCTCCGGTGGGGCACCTCATCCTCTGGGTAGAGGGGGTCCTGGTACGTGGGGGCAGACGTGTCAGGGATGGAGCGCAGGTCTTGCATGGAGAAGCTCCGCAGCCTGCCAGCCAGTGCACCCTGGCCCTGTGGAGGGGGACACTGTGTCACCTGAGAGGAGGGGGCTCCTGCAGGATGGGGTTCACCAGGGAAGCTGCCAGGGCAATCCAGGGCCGACCTGCAGCTAATCACTGTGGCTAGGGCTCAGAACTGAGAGCAGTTTAGCTCCCTGCTAGAGCCCATATGGCCACAAGAAAGCAAGAGTAAGTATCCGCTTACACTTGGTGTCAGTCTGCCCCCTGCCCCATAGCCCTAATCGCTATCTCTGGGCTCCCTGGGCAGCACCAAAGGCAAAGGTGGGGCAGGGCTGCTAGAGGGCTGGCCCAGGGCACCTTGGTGGCAGCCTGCACGGCCGCTGAGGCAGCCATGTTGAGGCTCCGCTTCCCAAAGGTGAGCATTGTCTCGTAGCTGCGCTCCTTGGCCTGCACTATGTAGGCGTCAATCTCCTGTGGAGGCAGGGGAGGGGAACTCAGGCTGACAGCAGAAGCCCCCCCTCCTCTGCAGACCCTGAAAAGCTACGGGTTGTCACACCTCCCGGCCTGCCACCACCTGGGACCCAGTAGCCACAGATGCAGCCAGGAATATACACCAAGAGAAGGAAGGGTTCTGCACCCACCGGCCCACCCCATACCACATCCCACTCTCTATCCCCAAACCAACTTCCAAGTGGCACATCACATCCCTGGAGGTCATTCATAGGCAAGCCTGTTGGACCATCCCAGCCAGGACCTGTGAGGTCCCACAGGTACACAGCAGCAGGCCAGGATTAGAACCCAGTGTCCCAATATCCTAAACCTCGAGTCCAGGGCTCTCTCCCACTCCTTTCTAGGTCTCCCTCTCTGCCTCCCCTTGGGTACCTTCTCATGGCGGGACAGGGATGGATGGACAAACTTTCGGTAAAGCAGGCTGGCCCCCTTGGTATAGGGTGAGAGCAGCCACAGCACAAAAGCCATCTTGATCTCATAGTAGAAAGGGAACCTGTGGGCGCACAGGAAGCAACATGAGCTAAGGAGCCAGGTCTAGGATGGGCTGCTCCCATCCCACTGCCTGCCGACCCCCGTGCCCAGACCAGGAGATAAAGACGTCCGTAAAGGTCTCTGTCGCCATGAAGATTGCAAAGACGATCCAGTACATCATCCACCGAACCTGTGGGGCACAGAGCACAGAGGTCAGCTTCGGAGCCTCCAGGGCCAACACCCGCCCCGGACTAGCCAGGCCCAGACATTCCAGAGGGCCTGTCCTGCTGCATTGCTGCGTTCGCCCATGCCGGGCTGGACAGGCACCTCTGGGAAACTGCCACTCATTCCTGTGCCCACTCTGGTACACTACACCCACAGGGCCTTCCACGGTCACTCTGCTCTTCCATGCCTGCCTGAACAGGGCCTGTCCTCTCCTATGCTGTTACTCAGAATATGCCCCACTGCCCAGAGCCCCTCCGTCCTACCATCCCCCTATGCCCTTCAAGACTGCCTGCCTTCTTGAACTCACATATTCGCGAATGTTCTTGGCCTTCACAGCCTTGTAGGAAGCGTAAGCTGGATAAAGCATGCCAAAGACCAGCCTGGAAGAGCAGACATGGGGAGTGTGAAGGCACCATGCCTTCCACTCACCTGCCAGGTGAATGCCCCCCCCACTGCGGTTGAGGTGGCGATGCCTGCCCTGTTTTTCCCGCTTGGCTTGCACAACCCGTGGTGCCTGAGTCAGTGCCCTGGAGGCCACCTTCCCACCCTGGTGTTTACAAACATCCCCAAGCCTGCCCAGGCCTGCACCAGTGGCCCATGGGTACATGGTGGTGCCAGAGCGCAGCTGCACAGCTGCTCAAAGAGGTGGGTGACAGCCCCAGACTGTCCCCTCCCACAGGCATGCAAGCGGGCCCAGAGCCACCAGACCTGGCACTGAGAGACTGCAGACTGGGATATCTGAGCCAGGTGCTGGAGTACTCAGAGGTGAGGGCTAGGACTGAGTGACAAGGCTGAGGTCAGGGTGCTGAGCCGTGTGACTGCCCAGGTGGGAAGCAGGCACCTGGATTCCCAGCCCACAAAGTGGCCAGTGTGCCTGTCTTTGCTTGGCTGTGCCTGCCTGTGGGAAGGGTCACCATCGTCCAAAGGGGCCGGGGAGGGGAGGGCGAGCTCGTGGTTTCGAGTCCCACGCAGGCCCCCAGGTCCGTTACCCCAGGCGGTGAGTGTTGGGGGAGCCAATAAATTTCAGAAAGCACCCCCTCCCACGTCCCCAGCCTCCACTCCAGGGTCAGGCTGACACGGGGGTGCGGGTCAGAGGGGATCTGAAAGTGTCCATACTCACACCACCAGGCGACAGATCATCCAGGACACCATTCTGACGGCCTTGGGGAAGAGAGGAGAACCCCAAGATCCCCCGAAGGACGGCCGCACGGGGGAGCTGGGGCAGGGGGCCAGTGGTGGAGCAGGAAGCGAGGGCCGGTCCGGCTGTTCTCAGGCGAAGGCTGAGCCCGAGCCCACCAATCCGGATCCCGCAGCGCGGGGTCCTGAAAACCGGACGCCCCGGCCCGGCCGCAGGAAGCGGACGCTAGACCGGCTCCCGCGGGCGCGCGGCTCGGTAGTTGCAGCTGCGACCCGCACTTTCTGCTGCAGAAAACCGGGTGTTGAGTTGTCCCTGACTGGGGTGGCGGGTCTCGGCTTTCGCTCCTGAGGGTCGCCGCGGTCCCGGCGTAAAAGGCCACAGGTACCGGCCTCCGGGGCGGAGTTTGCAACTCACTTGAAAGTTGCACGGAGCCGGGTCCTGCCCAACCCAGGCGCTCCGGAGCGACGCGCAGGCGCAGTGAGGTCCCAGAGGGGCGGAGCGAGGTCAGGGAGGCGCGGAACCGGTCACTTAAAGGGGCGCCGTGCGCCACGCGAGAGTGTGGCTGTAGCCTCCTTGGTCGGAAAGATTAGTGGGTGGGAGGAGGCAACGGAAGTGGGGGACAAGCGCGAAGAAAATCCGGATCTCCGGATTCTCGCGGCTCTTCACTGGCTTCTCCCAATGCCCTTCCTTGTCCCCCCTTTGTCAAATTGGCTAGGGCATGAAATGAGTGGGGTCCGCCCTCGAGGCTCAGACGCGAGCTGGAAGCACATCTGCCTCCCATGCAAGTTCTAGTCCTACACCACTGGGTCGCGGAGGTCAGTAAGCACCAAAGAGGCCCTGCCGCCCGAGAAGGAAGGGAAAGAGGAGAGGGAAGGGGGTCCTCCCCTCAACAGTGGGTCTCGGGAGTGTACTTCTCTCTGGACCTTTTCCCAAGTGCGCACACCTAGACTTCCCATAATGACTTGAGAGATCCTGGGTGGAGCACACAGCTCACCCTGCCTTGTTCACCAGAAGTCTGAAATTCCATGGCTGGGCCTGGTATCACACCCCTGTAATTTCAGCACTCTGGCAGGCTGAGGCAGGAGGAGGCAAACTTTGAACCCAGTCTGGGCAATTTAATGACCTCTTGAGACCCTGTTTTAAAACTTAAAAAGGAGCTGGGGCTGCAGCTCAGTGTGAGGTCCCCGAATTCAATCTCCAGTATGGGTGGGGATCCCTGGGAACTTCTTAGCATCAAGAATTGTTTTGTGCTGTGTTTGTGTACTGGGTCTTAATTTTTTCATGGCTTTTTTTTTTACCGAGTAGGACATATCCTTGTGACATAACTTGCCTAAGGTCTCCCGGAGGTGTTTATTGTATTTGTTTTGGCTGCTGGCTAAGCGTGTGGCATGGTCCCGAGTTCATGCTGATCTTCTTCAGGATCAGCAAGGCCCCTGCCAGCAGTAGGAGGGGGCTGTGGAACACTGGAACGGGGAAGTTACTATTGGAGGAAGGGAGAAGACTAAAAAGAAGGCAGAAAAAGATAACAGGAATGCGGGCTTTGCTGCTTCTACTGCTTCCTGTGTGGGCTTTCCTTCTGTGAGACTTCTGCTTCTGCCTCAGTTGCTCCCTCTGAAAACCGGGAGATGTGACCCGCTTTGCTGCACCAAGGGAAGGGTGAGAGCTGCCTGGGGGCTGTGGGGGCGAAACACAGGCAGTTTCTGCTCTTTATTAGAGCCACAGTTCACGCCCACCACCTGTGAAATGGATGGGCGCGCTAATGACGGCAGCCAGGGAAAGGAGGCTTTGGGGGGATAAATAAACACTCTGTGATTATATGGCCTTAATTATTATCATCAATTTTATTGGTATTGCTGGGTGTGGGAGCCCGAGGTGAAACTGGCCCACAGGAGAAACTCTCCCAAGGCCTGGTGTCTCCTTCGCCCTTCCTGCCCACCCCCTCCTCCACCCCAGCCCCGCGCTGTGTTGGAGGAACAAGAAATACCAGGAAGGTCCTAGCCACCGCCCATCTCGCCCATCCTGAGGTACAGACCTGCTTCTTCAGGGAGTCCCAGAAGGAGGAAGTATGTAATTGATGGGATGGGGAGGTGCTAGCTCAAGAAGAGTCGGGGGCTAGGGGGTCCAGTCCAGGGACACATAGGAGCCTCTGTCCTTTGCAGTCCTTCTCACTGGCTGCTTGCTGGAGCCCATGCCTGATCTCAGCAGCAGAAGCTACAATCAGTCCCCATTTGCTGGGGGACCTCTCCTGTGCCCACTCTAAGCCCACCCAGGTGGGATGGCCTCTTGCGTGGAGACTACTGGTCCCCGTGCCTGAGTGGGGCGTCTAAGGACAGGAAGTGAGAAGTCCGCCGCTGAGAGCAGGGCTCCACGCCGAGGGCTGTGAGGCTGGCAGCCGAGGGGTGTCACCAGCTTGGCTCTGGCAGAATGAGTGGACTCTGGCTCCTGCGGCCTTTGGTCCTGAGCTGTTGACACAGTCACCCAGTTACTGGGTTGCTAAGCAGCTCTCGACACACGGATGAGCTCCAGGGCAGGTGACCAGGCAGCCACACAGCAGAAAGCTGGGCATTCAGGGTGCAGTGGAGACAGTCGTCTCCCGCTGGTGGGGGAGCCCCCTGGACAGAGGGAGCAGCTGTGGGAGCAATGTTTACCTTCTGATGGGGCAACAGATGCCATGCGTTTAGGAGGCTCAGTCTGCCTTCCCTGACAACCTCTCCTGGGCACAGGGTAAAGGCCATTTTCCATTTCTTGTTGTTGTTGTTTGCTTTGGTTTTCTGAGACAGGAACTTGCTATGTAGTTCAAGCTGGCTTTGAACTAGTAAGAGCCCAAGCTGTCCTCAAACTCTTCCCGCAATCTTCCTGCCTCAGCCTTCTGAGTGCCGAGATTACAGGCCTGCACCACCGTTGCCCAACTTCATTTCCTATCTGAAACAGCAAGCCAGGCACTCCCCAGATGATAAGGTTGGTCCCCTGAGAGCGCCTGTTCATCTGAGAGCCCAAGAACGTGATTCGAGGAGGTGGAAACCCATACTAGTCACCCACAGTGCTGCATGGCCAGGGCAGGGGAGCAGGCATGTGAGGGCACAGGTAAGATGTACTGAGGCTCTAGGACTAGATGAGTGAGGGACCCCAACCCAGGGACAGCAGTCCTCCCTAAGGTCACCTCTCTCCAAGCCACCTGTGTCTCATGCACTCCTGCAGGCCAATGCAGCTCATAATTAGGTGCCAGACAGTCCATCAAAGGGCTTTGCATGTGTCAATATACCTTTAATGTACCGAAATCTCATGACCGATAACCCCACTGGGTAGGTCTGATTATACCCACTTCATAGATGAGCAAACTGGGACATAAATAGGCAAAATAATGCCTTCACCCACTAGCAAGCTGGTCCAATTGGGATTCCAAAAAGGTAGGTTTACTTTTTCTGCTTTGCAGAAGATGTTGAGGCCCAGCGAAATCAGCTGGCTTGCTTGAAATCTCACACCCGGCAAAGGGACAGAGCCCAAATGCACACCTGTGCAGTGCAGACAGAGCCCGGACAGCAGATGTGTGTTCCCCCTGCTGTCCAAAAGCTCCAGAGTGCCCAGACCCCGCCCCCACACCCACCAGTGCTCCCTGAAGGACAGAACATGAAGGGTGACACGTGACACACATGTGACACATGGGTAATGTGTGAGAGCTGAAAGGGGCCCTGGAGCCAGTGAGGATCTGGAGAAGGGAGGTGACCTGTCCAGGGTCACATGGCCCAGCATGCTTTGCCTGAGGAGCTGTCATTTCTCACCTCCTGTCCCTGACCCTGTCCCTGAACCACACAGGGAGCAGCAGGCTTTACTTTATTCTAACCCATGGGTTGGGAAGGGTGACAAGGAAAGAGGGGTCCCGCAGGTCCACACCCCCACTGCGACACACCGCTGTGTGCGTTCCTGAGACCCCTGTTAGTCCCGGCGAACCTGGACACTGCCTCTGGCTTAGCCCGTTTGACTTCCCTCACTCCGCACTGTCACTGTTGGTTGTTGCGGGCTCTCTCAACTCCACTCTCCGACGTGAGGAGGGATGCTGACTGCCCGCGCAGGACCCTAATGTGGGCAGAAAGCTGTGGGCTCCTTGCCCAGAGAACAGGGAGCCAAGGCCGGTCCTGAGCAGGGGAGAGCGCAGTGGAAAGAGGCGTGTGGAAAGTGGGCTGGCAGAGGGCTGTGTAGGGGGCCAGAGACATGGTGAGGAGGGAGGGTTTGGACAAGGCAGGAAAAGAGACAAAATGAACGTGCCCATCTGAAAAACCTTGGGGACAAAGAAGGGCGAGACTTGATGGCTGATTAAATATGGAGAGAAAAGGGACCAAGAAGTTATGTAGGACACCGCGGTGCCTCACTTAAGGTGGAAGGTGGCGGCAGTGGGGGACATCTGCCACCCAGAGGAGCTGGGCATGTGCTGGAAGGTGGGGAGGGACAGATGCAAGCCTTAGTGGGCCCCTAGCACATAAGTTCCAGGAAGGAACACGGGGCGGCGTCAGCCCCCGGTGCAGTAGACTGGTCACACTGGCCCGGCACTGAGTGTCATCACTGGGAACTCCTGAGCCCAGCCCCGAGGACCCTGGGGGCGCCCAGTCCTCAGGGAAGGGAGTGGAGGAAGAGGGTCTGCAGGCTGATGGCGGCCTCTGGGTGCAGCAGGAACTATAGCATGGCCTAGTCCTGTTCCTGATGAAACACCTGGATGACGCCTGCGAGCTGGGGGGGGGGTGGAGCTTTTTATTTGAAGCAAGTGAATCAAAGCATTGCCCCCAAGTGCCTCTGGGCATCCTGCCACCGAGAGTCCTGGCCATTTGGGCCCTGCCTCCTCTCCACTGGCCTCCCTTGGCCTCTAGGAGCAGCTCTTCCCAGAATCCAGCAGAGGGCAGCAGAATCCGGGCTCCTGGCGACCCCGCCTCCCCTTTCCTGACCACAGCTCATCCTCCACAGAAGGACAGTGTGCCTGGAGTGGGCCCTCGGCAGTGGTGGGGTGCCAGGGCCCCCATAGAGTGGAACCCAAGCTCCGTTCTCGGCAACCGCAGAGGTGGGTCCAGGGCTCACAGGTTCCCTGGCTTGCCCGGCTCCTGTACCCACCAAGGAGAATCATAGCTCAGGGTCCCCAGCCCAAAGATGGGGTGAGCCAGGGGGTGGTCCAGCCCTGAGGAAGCAACAGCTACAGAAAGAAAAGCTTTCATCTGGATGGCCTTCTGTCCCCAAGTGAGCTGGGAGTCAGGGTCACAGAAGGAAACTCCAGTAAGAAGAACCCAGGGGCTGCTGCTGTTATTGCTTCTGGACAGAGAAGAAAGCCAGCACTCCCTGGCTCACCAATGTAATTGCAATTGCCCTTCTCAGCCGTCGGGGGGTGTACACTGTGGGGAGCAAAGGAAGAAAGGGGCTGTGGGTCCCTCCAGGAAGAGCAGCAGTAAAGTAGTAACAGAGGGGAGCCCCTTTGGACAGCACCATCTACATGTGTGCCCAGCGGGACGTGTTTACCTACGGAAGTGTGAGTGTGGACAGGTATGTGCAAGTGACAGGCTGAGTGTGTCCGTCAGCGTCCACATGTGTAAACACAAAGGGCGCAGCAAGCGTGGGTGCACTTGGGAGCTGACGGCTGTGGCTGAGGCTGCAGCGTGGAGCACGAACAGGTAACTGAACACCTGGAGTACCCACAGGAAAGGCTGGAAGATGGGAAGGCTAAACTGGAGAGCAGGAGGCTGTGGCTCACGCCCCCTCCATGCCCAAACCATCACTCCTAAGCATGAGCAAGGGAGCAGAGCCCTGGGGTTTATAGATATGGGGTGGGGACAGGTGTACATATACAGGAGGGCTAGGGCACCTGGGTGACTGGTGCATATATAGGAGTTCGTGCTGATTACAGAGACAAGGAATGGCTTCCTCAGGTCAGGCTATGGTGTATATGCAGGCTCACTGTGTGTGTGTGTGTGCGTGCGTGTGTGCGTGTGTGTGTGTGTGTGTGTGTGTGTAAGGGTGCATATGCAGGTTGGCCAGTGTGACTTCACACAGACACACATGCTGCTCAGAGGCCCCCACCTAGCCTCCAGTGCCACCCTGAGGAGCCTAGAGGCCTCGACACCCCTCTAGGCACTGAGATCCACCACAACATGTCGGTATACCAGCGTCTGTCCTTTAAAGCTGGGGGCCAGGAGCAGCTGGGCATCCCCAGCGGGCATGTAGCAGAAGGCCCGAGGGGCCTGCACCGCTAGCTCCTGGAACCGTACAAACTTCTGTCGCCCTTCGTCCCATTGGTAGATCTGGGTGAAGGAGAAGTCACTGCCCAGTGCCAGGTAGCGGCGGCCACCCACCAGGAAGGGCTGCAGGGCCAGAGAGCCCCGGGAGGGCAGTGCCTGTACCTCAGAGAAGCGGGTGCCCTCCCAGCGCAGGATCTTGGAGTCGCCAATGTAGCGGCTGAGGCACAGGTAGCTGTCACGGCCGGCTCGGAAGTGTTTCACAGCCTGGGCGTCAGGTACCTGACTCACCTCTCCCTGGGCCACAAACTGCTTCTGGGTACGACTCCATTGATAGATGACCGGTGCCTGGGAGCTGCTAGACACTATCAGCCTTGGCTTGCCCTCGCCATCCACAAACTCGAGGTCAGTGTCACGGTGCCAGGCATGCAGGGCCTGGTGGGAGTAGAAGCCATTTTGGTGCCAACGGTAGAGGCTGGTGGCACCCGCCTTGGAGCTGTCGGCCACAGCAAAGTACCAGTCACCGTCGATACGGAAGGCCTCCAGGTCATTGGGCTTTCGTACACGCTGGGGGTCGATGTCCTGCAGCTTGGTGAAGCGCGTGGTGTTGGGATCCCAGTGGTAAATGTAAGAGCCACCAAACAGCTGGGCCACGACCACGTACAGCTGGCTGTCCACCACCATCGGCTTGCAGTGCACGGCCGAGGGCGCTGCCAGGAGAGAAGGCAGTGTGGGAAGGGTCTGCAGCTGCCACCCCATCCCATCCATTGGAGAAGGAAATCAGTCCCCCAGCTATGGGCTGGCACTGAGACTCTGCTACAGAATCCACCTTCACCTGCCAGGCGTGGTGGCGCACGCCTGTAATCCCAGCACTTGGGAGGCTGAGGCAGGAGGATCATTGCGAGTTGTAGCCTGGGCTACAAAGTGAGCTCAAGGCCAGCCTGAACTGCATAGCGAGAGCCTGTCTCAAAAAGACAAAAAAAAAAAAAAAAAAAAGACAAACACTAACAACAACCACACACACAAAACAACAGAATCCACCTTCACCTAGCTCAATGCGCTCTCATTTCTCACTGCTTCCCAAGCAATCATCAAATCCTACGTTGCCCTCGCTCTGCCCTGTGGCTCAGAGCTCAAGCACAAGTGGCCTTGAACACAAAACAGGTGTCCCTAGATACTGACGATGCTGACCGTACGTCCGTCACTGACTGTTTATTGTGTGCTGTCACTGTGCTAAGTATAGACACAGGACCTCCGTTAATCATGCCAAAAAGCACAGGGTTATTTGGCCTTCTTCACATAGAGAGAAACTGGAGCTTGGAGAGAGTGACTTGCCCCAAGCCACCCCACTGTCGTTTGGGCAGGCAGGGTGGTGGTGGTGGTGTGAGATATCCCAGAGGACATCTTGAAGTTTGGACAGTGGTACACGAAAATGCCCTGTCCCCAGGGGTCCCACCCTGGGGAGCACTTCCTGTGCTCACCACTAGGGTGCTCTGAGCCCTTCGGGGGAACAAAGCACAGGAGACTGCCACTCACTGCCCTCCTTACTGCCCCACTTTCCCCCAGGGGAGCTCTGCAGGGTGCAGGCTCCAGCGGTCACTGCCCGGACCCCTTTGAGCCTTGGTCTGTCCCTAGTGCCCCCTGCCCTCAGACGCCCCTTCCCTGTGCACCCACCCAGGTGCTCAGACTCAGCCTGGCCAACATGGAGCCCCTGACCCACCGTCAAGCTGGCTCTTCCTCCTCCTGTGCTCTCAATTTCAATATGTGACCCCCATCACCCGGTCCAGACCCCTAGGGAGTCTCCCCAACACATCTTTCCATTGCTCATCCCCCATTGTACCCCAGTCCTGGTGATCCCCCCTTCCACTTTCCAGAAGAGCTTATGTAAGATGCACGTTACTTCTTCCCTAAAGGTTTGATGGAATTGACCAGGGAAACTCTCAGGGCCTGGAGTTTTCTTTGGAGAGAGGATTTTTAAATACTTCAAGTTCTTTCACAGATCTGGACAACTTAAATATTCTCGCGTCTCGCATCAGTTCGGTCCTTTCTCAGTCTCTGTCCATTCCCACTGCTGCTGCCCAAGCCAAGCCGGGATTCCTGTAGTGAGGGGCACACACCCCCGCTGGCCTGCCCACGCGACCTGCTTCCTGTCTAGCCTGTCCCACCTGGCCTCGGCTCACACTTTGCTTCATCTGGCCAACAACCTGGTCCTCATCAGTGTCTGGCCTCACCTGCCACTCCCCACCTTAATCTTTCCTTTCTTTGCAGTGCTGGTGATTGAACCCAGGACCTTTGCACTGCACTACATCCCTCAACCTTTTTCTTTTTTGTATGTTGATAGGGTCTCAATAAGTTGCCCAGGTTGGGCTTGAACTTCTGATCTGCTTCAGCTTCCTGAGTGCTGGGATTTCGGTCTCGCACCGTCATACCACAGCTGGCTTTCTCTCTGAATCATAGGTCGCAGTCACTTACGGGATCTGCCTGTGGTCCGCACACATGCACACTCCACGCTAAGCTGCTGCACATCTTGATTTTGTTCCTGCTATTCCCTCTGCCAGAATACTCCTCCCCATTTTTCCCTCTGAAGTGTCCCTCAGCCTTCAGAATTCAGCGCTGAGCACAGTAGATCCAAAACTGAACTCTTATTTCCTCTTTTTTTGGAGAGGGGGCAGTTTGAGACAGGGTTTTGCTATTAGTTCAGGCTAGTCTTACACTGACTATGTAGCCCAGGCTGACCTTGAACTCACAGTGATTCTCCTGCTTCGGCCTCCCAGCTGCTGGGATTACAGATGTGCACCACCACACAAGCTCACCTGCTCCTTCTTTCTCTCTGACTTCCTCTGTCGTCCCCCCATCCTTCAAGAGGCAGCTTGGGCATCCACTCCACCAGGAAGCCTTGCAGGTGGCCCAGAACATTGTGTTTCTATCTTCTTCCTAGCACCTACCTAGATCCATGGTGAACTGCCCAACAGAAGAAAATCTCTATGGGCAGAGACCATGTCTTATCCATTCTCTACCTAGTGGGGTTGAACTGCCACAGTCCCTTGGCCAGGGCCAGTGCAGCCAGATGAGGAGCAGGTACCTGGGATTCTATCGTAGTCTCGAAGCTGCCGTTCCACATAGTCCCACTTCAGGACGGTGCAGGTGCTGGCGCCTGGCTGAGCCAGAGCCAAGTAGAGGTCGCTCGCGTAAAGGAAAGGTTCAGCGGACACTGCCGGGAAGGACAGGGTCTGGTAGAGCACGAAGTCTGCAGGGATGAGAGGTGCGGGCAGGCGGGACTCAGCTCTGAGGAAGCAAGGGGACCTGCCCAGCAGTCACACTGCAGGGCAGGGTGGGTGGCTCAGGGGGCACGGGGCACCACCCACCCGTGGTAATGCAGTCAAACTCCCGCAGTGGCAGGTCTTGCACCTTGTGCTCCTGGAAGCGGGGTGGGTTGGAGCAGTAGATGGGGGCCACGGTGGTGTTGGTGTGTGCCAGCCACTCCACTAGCCACTTCACCTTGCAGTCGCAGTTGAGCGCGTTGCCCCGCAAGTCCCTGGAAGGTGAGGGCAGGCAGAGGGCATAGAGAGGCTCTGCTGCTCTGCCCACCGCCCTCTAGCCCTTCTGAGGAAGATCTTATCATGGTTGCTTGGAGTTGTCACTCAAGCTTTGCAAAGAGTGCAGAGAGGCTCCCCTGGAGCAGGTGCAGCCCCACGCACAGGCTTAGCCGGAGAACAGTGCTGAGTTGCAGCCCTGCTGCCTCCTTGGCCCGGTGCCTTTGGGACCGAGGATTGAACTTAAGGCTTTCACACTGAGCTACACCCCCAGCCCTTTTATATTTGTTTTTAAATTTTGAAATGGGGTCTCGATAAGTTACTCAGTTATCCAGACTGGGTTCAGACCTGTGATCCTCCTGCCTCAGCTTTCTAAAGTTCTGGGAATACAGACATGTGCCACCATATTGGCTTGCAAGCTCCCAGTTATCTGTCACATTCCTGTCCCTCTAAGTTTCCTATAATCAAGAACTTTTATTTTCTTGTTTCAATAATAAATGACTCTGGCTATGCTGTAGGACTTTAATGTAGATTCAAATCAAAAACACACTTAAAGTGCACATTTTGGAAACACACAGTTCCTCATGTACATTTTAAGTGTCCACAGGTGACCCGAGGAACCCCAATTTGGAAGGCTATCACCTATAGCTCACTTGACACCATCTCAGAGGCCCCAAACCCAAACCATCCCAGTCTTTCAAGACCTTATGGTCACTCCAGTTCTGGCCCCCCCCACTGCTCCCTCCAGGGACAGTGCCCTCCATCAGAAGAAGTGGAACTCGGGCCTTACAAGTCACTCAGGATGTCCAGGGGCCGAAAGATGTCTCTAGGCAGTGTCTGCAGGTTATTGTTGGCCAGTGAGCTGTAAGAGAGATCCCCAGGTCCCCTGAAAATCGTGACCAAAGCCACAGGCCAGAGGAGACGTGGGCTTCGGGTGTGGTGTGTGTGTGTGTGTGAGGTACTCACAGGTGTGTCAAGGACTTGAGTCCCCTGAAGGTGAACTTGGATAGGGCCCAGATGTCATTGTTTTCAATGAAGCTGGAGAAAAATGAGAGCTCACCTCAGCTGCTGCTTGAGATCACAGACCTCCAGGCAGCCGTTCCCTGTACCCAGCCCAGATCCCAGCCCTGAGCCTCAGATCAGCTTCCACTGAGCATAGTGACGCCAAGCCTGTAGGGACAGGCCATCAGGCGGGGACATGGATGAAATGACCCTCTGCTCACGGTGGGCAGTCAGGGCATCAAGAGCTGTCCCAGGGCCCTCCTCCCCCAGGCTTCTCTGCCACTGCCGTCTCAGCCCACCCAGGCCTGGCTCCCTCCTGCTGTCTACTTTCCAGTGCCCTTTCCCTCCCACACACAGGTACTGCAGGTGGGACAGTCCTGTGAAGGCGTTGTCTCCAATCAGCGTGAACTTGTTGGAGTTGAGCAACCTGGGGAGACAGAGAGAGGATTAGAGCTCGCAAGGGTGTGCATGCTGCCCTAGTCTCTGCTTCCCAGCTGGGCTTCCCCAGGACCTGGCTGCCCTCCCTCGGGACCTCAGTGGAGTGCTCCTGAGCCACAGGGAAGCAGGACTGGAGGGAGCCTGTTCCAATCCCAGAAGCTCCCAGGGCCCCTGGTTGCTCCTAAAAATGGTTGCAGGCAGAGTTCTCCTGCCAGCTGGCTCCTGGCCCTCATGTGTCCTCTGCCTGTCTCCCCATCCTCACCTCAGCCCATTCCAGCCCTGCAGGGATAGCTGTCCTGCCATCCCTCCATTTAGACCCCAGCTCTTTCCTCAAAAGACCCCTGGGGATCACCTGTCTCTAAGATGACCCTCGAGTGCCTACCCTCCAGCACTGGCCCAAGTTCTTGCACCCAATTCCCCTGAGTCTCTAGAGGAGCTAGGTCCAACCCCACTTGCTGGGCCTCTGCATGCAGCCCCCAGCCCTTCTTCTTGCTATCTTCTACCCTGCCTCCTGACTCCAGGCCACCCGACCTGTGGCAGAGCCTGTGGGAGCCAAAGGGATACCAACATCGTCACCTCTAAAGGCCGCCCCACCACTCTCTCTCTGAGCCCAGCATCCGTCCCCTTCTCCTGCGCCCCCCACCAGCCCTTTCACAAGGCCTGGTCCATACAAGAACTGCAGCAGTGGCAGGTGGGAGAAGGCTCCATCCTGGATCTCTGAGAAGGCAGCATTCACCAGGGTCCTGCAAGGGACAACAGAGTCACACTGTGGGGGAGTCTACAGGGCTTGTGCTGGCCAGAGAGATGCACAGGGCAGTGGTCTCTGCACCAGCTGTGCCCCCACTTGCATCTGTCTCTCCCTTGTCCTCCCAAACTCACTGGCCTCCTGCACTATTCTCCTCCCCCACTGCCTCCAGAGCACCATAGCCCCAGGCTCACCTGCCCTCTCAGCCAAGAAGAAGTTCCACTACCTGAGCCATTGTTATCACTCAGACACCCACAAGGTGCTAGTGCTGTTGAGGGATGGGGCACTGGGATGAGGTGGATGCTGGCATCCTGCTCTTAAGGCCAGAGGCACGGGGAGCCCTGGGGCCAGGTGCTGCAAGTGAGGCTGCCCCAGCTGGGCGCCGAGCAGCTGGCCCAGCAGCGGGCACCTGCCCCCATCCCTCGGCACTGAGGCGCCCCTCCTCCTGCTGCTCTTCCTCCTCCTCCCTGTTGCCCTTGGTGTAACATCATAGGCAGTGGCCCCGCACGCTCCACTGGGGCTGAGGCCCTGCACACAGTGGGTCTCACTGATGATACTCCTGGGGATGATTCATTGTTGCTTACAGTCCTCTCCTCTTCCTGGCCATGGCTGCTGAGTCTGCCTGACTGCAGAGCTCCCTGCAGCTGGGGCCTGGAGCTCCAGCCCTGAGGATCACAGGAGTCCTCCTGGCCCCCACCTTCTGAAGACGGGGTGCAAGGGTTCTCCCATCCACTCCCAGAGGGCTTCTTGCCCTCTTCTCTCTCCCCTCCTCCTGGCACCCCCCAGGCCAGGCAGACACTCACAGGGAGATGACCTCAGAGGGCAGGTTCCTGGGCACCGCCTTAGAGTCCACGCAGAAGGCGGTGTCCCTGGTGCAGGAGCAGCTGGGCGGGCAGGGGGGCGTTTTGGGGGGCCTCTTGGCACTGACTTGGAGAATCAGGCAGAAACCCAGCGTGGACAGCGCCAGCAGCCCGGGCCCGGGGCCCCGCCTCACCCGCAGCCCCGCCATGCCGCCGCAGGTTCGCTTTCCTGTCGCCGGCAGGCTCGCACCCGCCGCTCCCTGCAGGCTGTGCCACCCCTCACGATGCCACCTCTGAGCTGCCGCAACGCAGGGCTCCGGCCCGCTGGGTGCAGCGCAGGCTTTCTGCCCTGGGGCGCCGGCTGAGTCCCCTCCCCTGCTCGTTCCGAGAGCAGGCTCGGGAGCGCTGCGCGAAACCCCGACCGCAACCGAGGGTCACCGGGGCGGGCGGGATGAACG